CCATGACAAAGAAGGGGAGTGGGGAGGAGGCATGCAAATCAATTCAGCGAAATTCTGCACTGGTAGCTTCCACTGACAGAATGGCCGAACCCTTTGGGGCCACCTTGTCAAGCATGGAGACAGGCCTGGCAAGAAAACCTCCAAACCCTCTGCTGCCCACTGGAACCAGCCCCGCTAGCCCATGTTCGCATTAACCGCCTCAGAGCTGACTGACTGGGCTCTCTGCCCTGTGAGGCCCATCTGAGTCAGCAGCGGTGCCTTTCAGACATTCATCAAATAATGTCACTCCTGTCTTCAAAACCGGGCAAGGACTGTTCTGTGCTGGGAGCCAAAGGCTTTACAGCAGCCCTCAGGAGGCCTATCTGAGGGGCAGGTCATCTCCCAGCCCTCACCACACACCCTACACCGTACCTTTCCTCACTGCCATGCACAAGGTGCATACCCAGTCCTACAGACACCCCCATATCCTCCTCTGAACTGGGGCCTCCTTGCACAACCCTCTCATTTCCCAGCCTTTCTGTTCTCTGCCTGGAGGATGTTCCTTAAGTCCCTGCATGGTTATTTCCTTTTTCTTTCCTTTTTTTGGTGGGTGTAAAAGGATGTCGACAGAGCCTGGCAAGCTCCCCATGGCGTACTCGATATGCCAAAGACAGTAACAAAGACAGTCCTCATTCCCCTGACCCTGAAAGAGGTCCCAATACGCCATCGAGTTACACTAGCACGCGACAGTTACTGGTGCCCGCTCGAGAAAATCCATGAACAACTGGGTGATACTGACAGTGATACAATAGAGGGATATGATGGTGTCAAGTCACACTGGCTCTGTGCTTTGGAATCATTCTCAAAGGTGTTTGGGTTCTACAGAGCAAAAGGATGACCCCGAGCCTGCACTCAACCCTCTGAGCTCTCTTTTCTCCTTTCACGGTTCTGCTCCTCTCTGCTACGCCATGGGGATCTGACTCTCTGTCCCATGTCTGACCTCGCATCTCCCCCACCCCGCCCCCCGCCACACACACCCCAGCTTAGATCAAAGGACTCATGCAAGGAAGTCACACTGACGCTATGCTCCCAGAGGAGCATAAACAGGGCCCTGGTTTGATAGTGCACAGCTGGGAACCCCTGTGGACAATCTCGACTGTGTTCCCACAAGGACCTCTTTAAAGTATTAGAAAAAAAAATCCATCCTTTAAATGTTTCTGAATGACTGTATCTTCCATAAGGGAAAGTCCAGGAGCGGCTTCATTTCTCCTTTAGATAGAACAGTCAAGGAACAAGAAACAGGGCAGGTGGTGAAAGGAAATAGCAGACAGAAGAGAAGCCTAGGGTGGTGCTTCTGAATCAATCCACCTGCTCTGAGAGACATTAGTGAGTGAGCGAGGAAGAAACACACACGCTTCCGCCTGAGATGAGAAGCACCAAGCTTCAGTAAAGATCACTTTCCAAGGGCTGGAGAGATAGGACAGCGGGTAGGACACTTGCCTTGGCATGGGGTCAGCCTGGGCTTGAGCCCCTGGCCCTACACGGTCCCCTGAGCCCCACCAGGAGTGATCCCTGAGCACAGAGCCAGGAGTAAGCCCTGAGCACAGTCAGGTGTTGTCCCCAAACCAAAAAATAATAAAAAGTCACGTTCTATATTCCCTTAATACATTGACTGTTTTCTCAGCTATGACGAAGCAAACAGCTCCCAATAGAGCTTCAGTGGTGGAAGAGGGCTGGGGTGTGAGGTGTGAGGCCATCTGGTAGGCCCAGCTCCTACTGGGCCGCTGATCCCAGGGATGGAGACCCAGACCCTATTTCCTCCTGAGCCCTGTGGAGGCGGCATGATCACCCCCAACTTGCCCTGCACCTCAAATTCCCTTAGCAGTGATGTCTGTGCCCCCTGGCCCGAATCCTTGAGTGTCTTCACCAGAGTATATATGGCCAGAACCTGCACATGCTGTAATATGGGGCAAGGGTCTGGCGAGGAAAGCAGGGTGCAGGCACAAGCTTGCTTTGATCCCCAAATCCTTCTTTCTCCCCAACTCTAGCAGATGAGATGACCAATGGCTACAGCTCTATGCCTCAGGGATCTAATTTCCCTTCACCAAAGAACCATAAATGCAGGGGCAAAAAGGGACTCCCGGGATTTCTTGAGGCTTCTGGGGCTTCTCATCTCAGCGCCTGGAAGAAAGGACTCTCATCCCGACCATCACTAGGAAAACGCAGCTCTGAACACAGACGTCCACCCCCAGGGCCTCCCCACCCTGAGTCCCGGGGAACCCTCCTTGGGCCCCACTATTCTCTCACCCGTGACTCACTGCCTGGAAGGGTGAACAGCTGCTCCCTTCTGAGCTCCTTTTAATCACCCTTAATGGCTCCTAATCAGTTCCAAGGCCCCCACTAGAGTCCTCCCCGCGCCTCATCGTCCTCGCATAGAGGCTGAGAGCCTCTGATGAGGGCATTTGTGTGTGTGGGGGGGGGGGGGATTCCAGACACTTGCAGCGTCTTAAATGGGTAATCAGCCACTCCACCCACTTTAACCCCACAGACGAACAGCACTGTCTGCTTTTGCAAAATTTAAACCTATTCATGGGACTTCCCTGGCAGCCAGCCCTTATTAATAATAAGTCCCGCCTGATCTGAGCCTCGAAGATGAGGCTTTTTTTTTTTTTTTTTTTTTTTTTTTTTTTTTTAGTGTTTCTTTGCTTGAGATGTCACACGTGTGTGTGTGACCATCCGTCCACTGCTGGCTCCCAAGGTCTGCGTGCGGAGATGAACCTCAGCTGTGTCCCCCAGGTTATCGTGGTCCTGGGGAGCTCTCATCTGGCTTCCAGCAATAGGGCAGGGGTGCTGCTCTAACGGACTCTCCCTGGGCCTCTCTTGGGGTGGTTGGACTCATACGAATCCATTTTAATGACCAGAGGAGTTGCGGAGCAGGACAGAGAGGGACCAGCCAGGCCCACTCAGGCCCTGCAAGGCACTCATGGGAAAGTCTCATTTTCCCTGTATCGCAGTATGGCATCCCCGATTCCCTCTCGTTGCTGGTCCCCACACCAGAGTCCCCGTGGCAGGATAGACCTGTGTTTCTCAGCGGAGGGGGGGTGTATGGCCTTCCATAGGCCTCCAGGATACCACAGGTGAAAATCGCATCAATCGTTGGGGGTGAGGGTGGTGTCTTAGAGTAGGACTTAGGGGGTCAACTGGCAGGACTGTGAGTGGGAGACAGAACAGGAAGGAAGCAAGGTCAGAAGGGGCCGGGCTGGACTAAGACTGAAAAATGCTGAGACAGAGTTTTCTGTTGGGTTTTCCACTGGGAGGAGTTCTGGGGTTCTCTCCAAGCCCAGAAAGGAGCAGGGAGTGTTGTAAGGGTGATGTTGTTTTTGCCCCGGGGCTGGGGGGGGGACAGGGAATGCTGTGGGAGGGGGCATACCTGGTGGTATTCAGAGGCTACTCCTGGCTCTGCTTTCAGGCATGACCCCAGGCAGGGCTCAGAGGACCATGTGTGGTGTTCGGACTTGAACCTGGGTCATGGCCACCCAGACACAAGCCAGACAAATGCGACACCTCCGAGATTTCTCTGACCCCTGATCTTGCTGTAGCTCGCAGAAGAAGAGTGACATCAACAGAAATTTTAAGCTGGTTGGTTAGATCAAAGGGAGTGACAATTCTGAGAAGTGATCTGGATGGAGAATAGTTGGCATGGGCGGGCACTGCGGGTGGAGCCACATATTTTGGACTTTCTTGGAGATTCCAGCCATGCCTCTGACCGTTTTGCTTCTAAAAATTGGCTCCCCTAAGTGTGTGTTTATGCTTCCTACAAGAAACACACAAGAAGGTTCATGGTGCAGTAATTGACTGTGACAACCTGAAACAGCCACCCACGTGTATGGAGAGTGGATGAATAGATGGTGGCAGAACCCTGCAGTGGGAGAAGGCACAAGGAGGATGAGAATGGTCAGGTCAGTGCAGAAACTTTGCTTGGCCACAAACCCGAGGCCAAGCAAAAGAAGTCAGCCACCTGGTCCTGTTCCAAAGGCTTCCACTGATTTGAAAAGCAAAACATGCAAGACGAATCTCTGATGATAAAGATCAGAATAAGCAGCGGCCTCCGGGAGGAGCCTGCGTGTTATCCAGCTGTGTACCTTAGATCCATACACACGACTGAATACAAGCTCTACTGCAGTAAAGGAAAAGGGAATCAAAGACAACGTCTGTTGTGTTAGCGTCTTCCCAGAGGAACAACTCATTATTTACTCATCTCTTCTTCTTTTTTTTTTTTTTCTTAATGCTCCACTTTTTTGAGAAAGATTTGAGATGGTTTACGAGGGTATCTAGCATCGAACTTGTGAAGAGAACGAAGGCAATACTAAAACATAAGAGCAGGGTCATAGGACAAAACTCGAGGTGAGAGTGAGTCTCAGTATTTTTATGGCAGGAAGTCACTGCCTGGGGTGAGCTGAATGGAGCTTTCTGGTAGTTGGCTGGAAGGGGAGACCCAATTCCAAATTGACAATGACAGTGAGGCTGATGAGAAACCCAGAGATGGAGGGAAATTTCTCCTGAGTTGTCCCAGGGAAAAAAAGGCACTAATGGGATCAAATTTCTTTCTGTGTGTTTTTTAAAAAATAAATTTATTTGGGAGTTTGGGGCCATACTTGGTGGTACTCAGAACTGACTATAGGCTCTGTGCTCAAGGAAATACTCCTGGTGGAGCTTAGGGGACCACACGGGGTGCTGGGGATCTAACTGGGGTTAGCTGCATGCAAGGCAAGGGCCTTAACCCCTGTACTATCTCTCTACCCTCTCTCCCCTTTCTGTTTGTTTTCAACTTTGCCAAACATCTCATTTGGGGACCATGCCCCTCAAGTCCCACCAGCCCTCAGCAGAACCCCAAAGACACCCCTGGGTCTGTCCTCATAGAATGTGGGGGAATGTGTGCCGCTGTCCAGGCTCTTATTCATGCATCTACGCCATGTGCGGTGGTGCTGGGGTGGGGGTCATGAGGACTGGGTTTCTGTTCTTCAGGATGCCTGGGAACACTGGTCAGTCTCTTCTGCCCAGGCTCTGCTGCCTCTCAGCGTATTTCTCTTCCAGTGTCTGCTCCTGAGCGGCCCATTCGGCCCTCCAGAGTCGGTTCTGCCTGGGGTAGGTCCCGAGGGTTGAACTCCTTCCATCCAGGCATTTGTGATGATGGCTCTTTCCACCTTCTGGCTCCAGTTTGGGAATTGAATTCATACTGTGCTCCGGTCACTAGGGACAAAAAGAGACAAATCCCTAGAAAAGGAGGAACTCGATAAAGTCTCTTCTCCTGTGTTTCCACCCAGCTCTGTTCTCAGACTCCAGGGAGAGACGAGCAGCGGGAGGCAACCGCTGAACCTGAATCCAGAGACACCACCCCCCCACCAAACCCCCGCCAGCAGCCCCAGGCACAGTGCATCATCTTCCTGGTACACCCTTCCCATGGACCCCTGGGACCTCCAGTGGCTGGTCTCACTGGAGCAGAGGCCAAACAGTCTTTAGTCCTTTTTTAAAACAAAACTATTGTATGATGGCTACGGCTCAACTCCAGATGAGCTCTGGAGGAATTAGCTGCTATTCCAGAGAGATTTACTCTTTACCTTTGGAACTGTTTGTTTGAAATGATCCCTTGCCTCTCTGGCTCCCCTAGATGAATTTATTAGGGCTGGAGAGATATCGCAGTGGTTAGGGCGCTTGCCTTGCACATGGCTGACTCAGGTTCAATGCCAGGTGTGATCCCTGAACACAGAGCCAGGAGTAAGCCCTAAGCACCTCTGGATGTGGTCCCCAAACAAACACAAACAAGGAATTTTCCAAGTAAGGAGGGAAAGACTTAAAGGTGTGTGTGTGTGTGTGTGTGTGTGTGTGTGTGTGTGTGTAGTGACATCAGATTCGCGGTGGTGGGTAGGGCCCAGGAGTGAGAGGGTGAGGGACTATTTCTCACTCTGTCAGAGTCAGCCAACACTAACTGATATGTTTGTTTCCATGATGGCAGCAGGCACCTTGCTCGCTTCTCTCAGACACAAAACCGGCAGGCTACAGGCCTCCATCCTCCCCGGCCTTCTCCCAGAAGATGGGGTTTGGGTGCATCCCGCCTTCTGCCATCTCCATCTCTCGTGAGTGGCCGCTCCTGGGCTGGCAGAGGATCCCACCAGCACTTATGCTAATGTGGGCACATTATGGGAACAAGGACCTAATAATAGAGGGAAATTGAGTTGCAGCAGCAGCAGCCGCCCCGCTGGAGGGGAGCCATCCTGCTCTGAGGAGGAGCAGCCGCCTGGGCGGGTGGCAGGGAGCCAGCGCACTTGCCTCGAGAATTTGGTCTCTTTCCCTGTATCCAGGTCTATAATCGAGCCTTTGTGAGTGGAGGAAAGTATGTAAAGAAGCTAAATTTGGAGCTGATTTCATGGAGGACTGGGGGGGTGGGGGTTGCTGAGCTCCGGAGGCCAACTTTACCTTCTGTTCACTTGCCGACCAAGAAGAAATGCTTGGACCCGATGGTGGAGGGAAAAAAAGAAAAAAGAAGGCTGACTTCCAGCTCTTCCTATTCTGCTACTCGAAGGACTGGCAAGCAGTGCCCAGAAAGGAGGGGAGGGCAGTGGGGTGGGAGCTGGAAATAACTGGGGGTTCCTTGAGTGAGCCCAATTCCCCCAGTTGGGATGTGAGTCTTACAAGGGAGGTAAGACAGAGTCTGGGGCTGTGGGGGTGAACCTTCATGAGAACCCTCAAAGGTCACCCACAGGCACCCCTGCTGCCCATCCCCTTCAAAGCAGATCTCAAGGGGAGTTTTGTCTGGGAGCGTTTCCCATTTCCCACTGCCCAGGTCTTCAGCCACTGGTCCACAGACAGGGGCTGGTCTGCAGGTGTTCCAAGGTGGGAAAACAATGTCCCAGTGCCTTGATCTCAAGGCTGGGGCAGGTGAAGGAAAGGATGGTGAAGGCTGGTAGAGGAGAAGAGATGGACATAGAGGGAGGGGCAGGCTAACCCCTTGCTCCACCAGCCTGGAAGATGGACAGTGCCCTTCGGACTGATGCTGGTGCTCACTTACCTGGGTCTATGGCTTCTCCGTCAAAGATGGTGTTCATCCGGATTGTTTCCTAGGGAGAGGAAGGACATAGCTTCAAGCACAGCCCAACACTCCTTCCTGCAGGCAAAGACCATTGCCCTGCTTTACTCTGCCGGCTCTCTGCAATTATACTGAAGGCACGATGTCTGTCTGGGTGACAGCGAGGTGTCTGTTTACCCCGAACAAAGCTAGAAGGGGGACACTGGCACAAGAGAGTAACAAGAACCTGGCAGCAGGGAGAAGATGGGGTAGAGGATATTATGGATATTATGGAAGTCCAGGTAGGGGATGACTGGGGTCAAGAAAGCCCCTGGATATACCAGTAGGAAGAGATAAAGCCATGCCATTTGCTGCTATGTGGATGGATTTGGAGAGTGTCACGTTAAATGAAGTCAGTCACAGTGAGAGGGACAGATACAGAACAATAAAGAAACAGTCAGGAAACAACAAATGCTCAAAGGCAATAGAAGCTACAGAACTGAACTTCCCAAGGCCGGGGATCAGGGAGTCAGGAGTCGAGGGTCTGGGGTTGGGGAAATGACCCTGACACAATTGTGGGGTGGAAGTGGACATTCTGGTGTGGGGTGTGTTGGTGGCTGTTGTATGCTTCAAAAACTTGATTTGCAACAAGAAATATTATAAATTATCGTGCTTCAAATATTTTTTAAAGTACAAAACATTAAAAGAAAATTCTGAATCAGTGATATATCGGCTGCATAGAGCAGACCAGCTGTGGTCCGCAGATTATTTTTGGAGGTTACCACACCACCACCCCCACCTCCCCCACCCCCCACCTCCCCCCACCTCCCACCCTCTGCATCATGCAGCCACAACATCATTTCAGGGCTAGCAAGATGATACTAGGATGCTGCAGTCAGCAAAATATTTCTCCTATTTTCCCCGGGTCCATAGAAAGATTGGAGAATGGCACAGAAGGAAAAGCAAGAATGCCCTGGGCCAGGGGCTGGTTGGCAGCGTCTGTCTGTGTAGGACTTTCCAGGCTGCCAGAGGGGAGAGTTGGGTACCTCCACCACTGAACTGTGGCTCTGCCCCCTTGGCAAGGCCAGTGCGGTGTTTCCTCTGAGCCTGGCTGACTTGCCTGATCTCTGGACTCTGTTCCCCTCAATCTGCGCTTGGGGTCACTGTCCAGGACCTGGCCTCAGTCTCATACATGCGCCTCCACCAAATACACCTTTCCCTCTTCTGAGGCACTTTTGAGGGGCTTTCATTCCCCAGGAGGATGGTTTGGAGTTTCGTGGGCCTTTAGACCCCCACCAGTTCTCATCACATAAATGATCACCTAGTCACAGCTCCTCGGCTCTGAAGAGAGGAAAGGCAGACCTCTTGATGGGTTGAGCAGCCCATGATTTATGGGGGTGAATTTAGTTCTCCAGGAGGAGATGAATGTGATGTTATGTATGTCTATGTCTCTGAGAGACATTACCAAGGAGCCTGGCCTTACACAAGAAAGATGGAGACACAGGAGATGAAGCACCCAGGGGAGTTTCCAGCAGGGGACTGTCCTCCTCACTGTGTATATCAGTCTCCAACCGAACGGGTCTTGAATCATAATAAAGCTTCTTTCCAGGGCTGCGGAGGTCTGGGAGGGTCGCCTTCAAGCCCACCCCTGCCCAGTGACTGGACCAGGCTCAGTAAAAGAATCTCGGGAGGGGCTTGCTCTTCAAGCCGGGTTCCCCCTTGAACATGCGTCTCATTTGCTTGTCTGTTTTTTTTTTGCTTGCCTATTTCCATTCTGGAGAAGCCTGTGTTCTCTCTTGAACACGTCCTTCTCTTTCTGTCCTCTCACATCTTTCTAAATAAATTTCACACACACACACACACACACACACACACACACACACACACACACACAGAATCTCAGGATGTAAGATGAGGAGGCATCTCTCCACTTCCCTTGAACACCTTGCTTTTGTGTAACCTTTGACCATTTTCCACACAACTCCCCACTGGATTTCTGGGAGGTGGGAGGGCAGGGTCTTGTTCCCATTTCACAGGTGAGGAATCAGAAGCGGAAAGAAACTGAGAGACGCTGGAGGCCTGGTGGCCAAGTGGGAGGGGCTCGCCGTCCACCCAGGCACGCCTTTCCTCTATCCCTGCCCTCGGGTCTGTGGGAGAGCAGAGTGAAAATAGATCCTGCTAAAGACTGAAGCACCCACTCTCATCTTTTAGCTCCTTTCCCCTAACTCACTCTCCTGGAGAGCTGATGGAGATAATAAACATTACTATTCAATATTTATGAAATCCACTTCTTCTGCAAATATATCAGCAGACATGTTCAGTGGAGGGAGCAAATTCTATCAGGAGCTCGTCACACAGCAATCTGTTCCAGTGGCCAAATAAGGATCTTCCTGAATAATAAACACCCCAGGAGGCAGCAGCAGGGGAGGGGCCCCCAGTGCCAACTCCCAAACCAGGTACCCTGGTCCCAGCCACACTTACCACCACAACCTCCCTCTTTGTGTTCTTGATTACTGCAGGGAATAGAAGTGACAGAAGTTAAGCTTCTTAGACACAAAATTAACCTTATAATTTGCCCCCCATGATGGGAGTTCACTTAAACAGACTTTGAACTCAGTACAGACAAGGCGGCAGAGAATATTCTCTCTACGGACATGTTGGTTGACAGCTTTCCTTTTTCTCAGAAACACACACACACCTACTGCCACTTGAGACTTTTCCCCAGCCCCTGTCTATGCTCTTTTATTTATATATATTTTAATCTGTTTAGTTTGTTTGGGAGTATAAAAGGAGACCCCCAGAACCCTGCCACTGGGCTCGACACCAGGCTGTAGGGTGGGTGAGAGCTCTCTCCGCCCCAAGGGACCCAGCGCTGGCAGCCGACCTCCACTGCCCAACCACCGCCACACTTCAGGCTGCTTTCTGGACACTTAGGCCGAGCCACACGCAAAAATGAAGTTCCACGAAACCCAGATAATGTGGAATTTTGTGACCTTGGACTCTGAACTCAACGGGACCCAGAACAGAGATCCTCTGCCTGCTTCCCCCAGTCTCCAGTGACTCAGGGATCACACCCATAAACTACACTCTGCCAGCACCAGATAATCTCCTCATCAGCCACCCTCCAGAACTCACGGATGCTCCTCCCCAGATGGGAGTATAAAAGGAGGCCCCCAAAACCATGCCACCGGACTCTGCGCCAGGCTGGAGGGTGGATGAGAGCCCTCCCCACCCCAAGAGACCCAGCCCCGGCAGCCAACCTCCACTGCCCAACCACCACCACGCTTCAGGTCGCAACACATTATAAGACACTTCCTACCCATTTATGCCTCTTGGAGAGCTCAGCAAGCTACTGAAACTATCCCACCCGCATGGGCAGAGCCTAGCAAGCTTCCCCCACCCACATGGGCAGAGCCTAGCAAGCTTCCCGTGGCATATTCGATATGCCAAATACAGTAAAGACAACAGGTCTCATTCCCCTGACCCTGAAAGAGCCTCCAGTCATTGGGAAAAGACGAGTAAGTAGAGGCTGCTAAAATCTCAGGACTGGGAGAAATAGAGACGTTACTGGTGTCCACTCGAGTAATTTGACGATCAATGGGATGACAGTGATATAGTGACTGTTTGGGGCCTCCACCCAGCCCCTGTGTTCAGGAGTCACTCCTGGCAGTCTTAGGGAATTGAGCCCAGGTGGACTGCATGAAGGACAAGCACCTTACCCACTGTCCTAGCTCTTTAGCCACTGTGTTCTTCTTAAAAAACAAAGAAGATTGGAGACAATTAGAAAAATAAACCAGGGTTGAGAGATAGTACAGTGGGTAGGGCATTTGCCTTGCATGCAGCCAACCCAGGTTCCATCCCTGGCATCCCATCTAGTTCCCTGAGCACTGCCAGGAATAATTCCTGAGCAAACTCTGAGCATCGCCCGATGTGACACAAAAATCCAAAAAAGAAAAAGAAAAAGAAAGCAAAAGTAAACAATTTATTAAAATCATCACATTAGATATGATCCATATCCTTTGTTTTATTTTGAGGGGCCATACTCAGCAGTGCTCAGGAGCTACTCCTTGCTCTGTGTTCAGCAGTGATCCCTGGTGTTTACGGGACCACCTATGGTACCAGGGGATTTGAACTGAGGCTGTCAGGATACAAGGCAAGCACCCGACCTCCTGTATTTCCCTCCAGCTCATAACCTTTGTAACCAAATTTCTAGCCTTTACAAGTCCAGCACAGGCCCCTCTGAGAGGTGTGATCAAAGCAAGGCTTTTTGAAAACCTACTTTTTAGTCTCTGTCCTGGCTCTCTCCGTAGTTGGATTCTCTTTGGAGCCACAACTCCTGGGGCTGTGCTGGCACCATTTGGGGCTGGAGTCATCCCACTGTATCTAGCTTAATGCACCAGAACCCCCAAACTCATTGAGGTTTTCCCTCTTCTCAGATGGTACCCAGGCCACCTCTTCTAACTTGTCTGACCTAAATAATGTGTGTAAATGATCGAATCCAGGATGATGTGAGAAGGAAGTACCACTTGTTCTTTGCAGAGGGACTCTCAGACCTTGTGGGTCCCCACCCTCTGAGCACGCCTCCCCGACAGCTCCCACTCCACAGGGGACTGGTGTAGGGGGTACACTTTAGGCAAGCTATTGGAGACAACTTTGGGGAGGGGAGCGGGGCAGGCCAAATGGGACCAAAATGAGAACTGAGTAAACCAAATAACACCAGATCCCCCAACTTTCCTATCTCCAGCGATGTCCGACCTCCTCGGTTTCATCCCACCCCCTGACCATGCACCTGATGAACCACCCAGGCAGGGACATGCCCAGAGTCCCTGCAGAGCTGCAGTTCCTGCATGTATAACAGAGTGAGCAAGACCCAGTGATAACCAAGGTGATGGGCATTGTCCATACCTCCTTTCTTCACCCTGTTGGGGAAGGAAAGAGATAGCCAAGATTTAGTCTGAGGGTCCTTTGTATTAGTACACACACCACACAAGGGGGAGTGGGGGGACCTGTTGGCCCCCATGATTCAGGGGTTCATTCAGGTGGGGTCAGGGATAATTGAGTACCCATCCCTGCTCCAGAACAGGAGCCCCATCACTATTGGCTTGAAGTGGAGGTTTCTGAGTGAAGCTTCTTTGCTTTGAGAGAGTTTCAGGAAATATATTTTCTTTGAAGACACCAGCTGCTGAGGTCATGTCCACCCACACAGATGGCCCAGTGATTCTTCTACTCTGCAGAAGCCTGGGTCATGCGTGACAGGTCTGAGAGCTGGTGCTGAAGCCCTGGAGCCCTATCATAAAGAGCCAGACTCGACACTAGGGCCCTTCCCACAGTAACCCTGGAATCTAACATTCTGGGACTCTGATGTCATCCTTTGCTAAAGAACAAATGTTAGCTACATATGGTGGGACAATCAGTTTCTTCAGAGGCTGGGTCTGCCTTTGAATTGCTTTTTTTTTTAATTTCTTTTTACAGTCAACCAGGTTGAAAACAGTAATTGGAAGCAACAGATTCAAGGTATATACTTAACATTGAACCCAAAATGGCATGTGTGTTGCACTGTTTACTGGATTACTTCCTTTGATAACTTCTCCCTAAATTCCATTTCAGGGCACCACCAGTATTAAAAGCTTAAGTGTCACTCTTTTGAAGCCAAGGAAAAATATTTTTTTTCAAATAAACTTGTGAGTATAGTCCAAACAAAAAAGTCTTTAAAAAAATTTTAGCAGATGTGCAAAGATTTCTTACCTTGGTGTCAATGTTGCCAATAGCAACAAACTTCCCCTAATAAATATGGCAAAATGCAATGTACATCTTTATTTAAATATTCAGGCTTTTAGATTGTCTTTCACCCATAGATTTGTGTTTTGTTTTGGAGGTGGGTTGGGCCACATCCACTGGTGTTCCTGTGTCAATGCTTTGGGATCACTCTAGGTGGTACACTGGGGAACATATGGGGTTCTGAGTATTGATCCAGAGTCAACCATATGCAAGGCAAGCATCTTCACCCCTGTACTAACTATCTGGTCCCAGACATAGATTTTTAATTATTGGACAGACTACATAATCTTTGAAATACCTTTAAGAGGCATAACAGTCCTACTATCTTTTCTTAACACCTCTGAGAAATTCCAAAACTTAGGTTCCCGCTACCTCAGGATACTGGGACATAGAGTTAAACTATGAGAATCCAAAATCCTGAGTTTACTGGGACTTAGCTGAGAAAAAGAATACAAGATGTAAAAGGTTAATGGTTCGAGTGCATTAAGCCTTTTCTCTATATCAGGAACACCGAAAGTGCTCTCTTTGCATTTGCTCATCTAATTGTTTCATTTTTCAACAAGGAAATTGAGAATCACAGACATCATCATTTTCCCAAAGCTTGCATACCTAGAAAATGATACAGCCAATCTTGGAAGCCAGCCTACATCCAATTCCAAAGCCCAGAACCATCACGCTCATGTTGGAAACTTCTACAGAGACTGGAGAAGCCTGGCTCTGAGAGAAGCTGGTATCAGCTGGGCTCTCTCATCCCTGCACTAAGAACTCACAATAGCCAGTAAAAGGCACTCAGTAGAGCTGCAGGGCGAGAGGCTTATTAGCGAGCAGGCAAAAGCCAGAGGGAGGGGGAGCCTGCCCATGCTTATTGCCTTTGGGAGGATGAGATTGGGACCACATGCAAAAAGAACAATAATTGTTTCGTCACACAAAAGCCCAACTGAGATATTGAAGCCAAAGACTTAATTCCCTTATCGGGTTTTTCTGCTTCATCTATTTCAATCCCGTTCTTTGAATGTTCTATAAATAAGAGCATAGCTTCCCCTAGCATGACCCACATCCAGGCACTCCTGAAGCTTTAAACTGGGGCAGGGTGACCAAAGGACCAAAATCCCCATTTCACGGGGGGCATAGGAATGCTAAAGGCCTGGAATAAACCCAGCAGGTGATGGAGATAATGCCCAGGACCACTGTGAGGTAGGAGTAGGGGGTGTGTGGGATTCCTTCCTCTTGATCTCTTTTCCTTCCTTCAACCCACGTACTCTCTCCACTTGGGAGAGAAACCTGTCCTTGTTCTTCCCATCTCCTGACCCAAAACCACAGCTTCTAGGGCGTTGGACAAGGGCCCCGCCCACAAGCAACTTACAGAGTCTTTGAGTGCTTCCTGGTCTTGCAGCGTTTGTGGATGGCTTTAGCCAACAGAACGGTCAAGAATCCCAGGAGACCCAGAAGCAACATGGAGCCCAACGTGATGGTGAAAGGCACGTACCACGCTGATGAGGAATATACATTTTCCTGCAGGATCTGGTAGGTGATCCTGGGCTTGAAGAGCAGAAATCAACGGTGAGGGGGAGGGAAGCAGAGGGTGGTGGCATTTTTGACATTCATGGTTGAATAGTGATCAGCTCTCTGTTCTTGCTCTGTAACTCGGACATTTGTGTCTTAGCTCTTGCTGCTTCAACCCATCACCTTACTTACTGTTTTGGCAGATGAACATTCACTCAATTAACTCTAAAAATTGTAAGGAACTGAAATGCAACTTCCGACCTAATTTTACTGTCTGTCTTTCCTGTCCTCAAAGTTAAAAGTCCCACTGGCTTTTTTCCCCTGCCAAATCATAACCAGGGACTAATATAGCTACTGTCTCTCACTGGGAAGGCATGAGCCATGAAAGTGGGTTTGTTTGTTTGAACAATTTTGTAGACTTCTCAGTGTTCACTCGCTACCAGCCGCACTGCCAGCTGAGTGGGCTGATCTCACAGTGAAACCTCAGGTTCAGCATCTGCTCCCAGAGTGGGAAATAGATAAAGGCGCAGAGCATCAGGATGAGTGATAGCTCAACTGGATCAAGTTGCTGGCTGTCCAGAAAGGCACTTTACAAGAACCTACCATAACTAGATGCCCAGTGCCTTATTTCACCATTCACTGAGTAATACTGACTCACGAATGAGGGAGGCATAGACGAACCAGCCCATGACTGGACACTGAGAAGCAGGGCTGGATGACCTGGTACAGGGGAGCCCCTGTGTTCTCACTGCATTTCCTCTGGCGTACTGCAAGTGTGGGCAACCTTTACTCGGACAGAAGGAACCGGAACAAAGACATTAGCACAGCGAAAGCAAGGAGAGGTAATCCTGACATCAGATGTCAATACTTTCTCCCTCAAGACACTGATTCTCTTCTGGCACCTGCTTGTTTGCTTCTCACCATTTCCCACAATCCGTCGCTAGTTTACGACTTGGCAGGCTTGTGTATAATCTGTTTCCCTCTCTAGTCTGGAGGCTCTCAAACTCCAAGGCACAGCAGAATACCCTGGAGGGCTAATGAGAAACACAGATGGCTGGGCCACACCTCCGGCATTGCTGATCCTGTGGGTGGGGATTTGAGGTTCCAAATCCTTCCTGATCGGTCATGGAAACCAGCAGGACTGGTGATAGATAACATTAATATCCCGGGCACACAGGGTGCAAGAGTCTGCAGTTCTAAAAGGTTTTCAGGTGCTGCTGCTGATGGTGGAGGCCTGGGGGGTCCTCACTTTGACAACCTCTGGCCTATCCATTACTCATGAGAGTAGGGGTCCTTTGGGGCTTGGCAAGTCACCATAATGACTGGCACATGATGAGCGAGTGTCAGTGAAGATATGTATATGGGAAGAATGAAGGTCAGGAGTAGGGGACAGACTGGTGTCTGGTGAGCATTCAGGGGAGGAGGAGGAGAACAGCACCTGGTCACTACTGCTTTCTGGAGCACTGACTTGCTCTTGAGAGGAGTCAGGAGAGAGTTTGTGAAGATTGCAACTGGCCATATGCCAATGAAAATTGGCTCCTGTGCCATAAGCACTAAAGGTGACCAAACCTGATCCCTCACAAGTCCCTTCACAAATTCATACTCTTCTGTAGAAGAGAAAAAGCAAAAGGTCTCCTTGTAGGTCTTACCCAGATCTTTCTGTACTGCCCACTGATTATTCTAGTCCAGCCCACAATAGCCATGGGGCAACATCCCAATGCTACAACTCTTATTAAGAAAGTCCAGACCTCATTTCTCCTGCATTAGAGGGTTCTATGGGTGTGAAAAGGACGCGGAGAATCCCTATAACACTGCTCTTACCCTAGGAGTTGTGGTGACAATTGTGGTTGGGTGAGGAGTGACCCTGATACTCAATGTCACGGTCCCTGTTTCAATAAGAGCCTGAGCCTTCTTCCTTCCAGTCAGCAAGTTATCATCTGTTATGTAGACGAGTAGTTTATAGTCCCAGATCTTATCAAGTCCACCAGTATAGTCAAAGCGAGTCGCAAGCAGCAAGTGTGAAACGTTGGACCCAGCATTTGGAGAGAAAGTGAAATGACGATTGATGTTGCCTAAGAGAAATTGGGGGGAAAGAAAGACAAAAGTGAGAAATAAAGGTTTCAAAGAAAATGGTTTCTATTTTCACTTCCTCAAAGGTCTTCACCTCCAGTATAGGTGCACCAGGGGTTGGGTCAGTGATATGACAGTGCCGTAACTGTGCCAGGGATTCCTTAATTATAAAGCCTCTTGCTCACCACCAGTGTGGCTAAAAAGGAGGAGGGGAAGAAGGACAGAAAAGGACAACAGCGCACTTGACCCAGTACATGGGCCACCATCTTGCTAAGCCCAGGCAGAGAATGTCATCATCCTGAATCTGTCCCTGCAAGCAGTCGTCATTATCCTGCAGAGTGCCAACTGAGACTCATGCTTAGACCAGTGGATGGTGGTTTTTGTTTGTTTGTTTGTTTTTGCTTTATGGGTCACACCCGGGGATGCTCAGGGGTTATTCCTGGCTCTGCACTCAGGAATTACTCCTGGCAGTGCTCGGGGGACCATATGGGATGCTGGGAATCGAACCTGGGTCGGTTGCCTACAAGGCAAATGCCCTACCTGCTGTTCTATGGCTCCAGCCCCTAGACCAGTGGATGGGCAGAGAGAGGGCACAACGCACCTTAGCCACAGGCCGAGTTCACTCTCTGCCTTTCATATTGGGTCACAGTAGCCACCACATCCTGGTCTCCCAAGGGCAGATGCTCCTTGCCTTTGCAGGTAAGACAGATCCGACCCTTCTGAATCTGCCCCAGGCCAGTACCCCCTGCCCCTGACCCCCCCCCCCCCACACACACACATCCCGTCTATTAGGGCCCAATGGGCACAGCTTAGGGAGCCTGGGACAGAGAAACAGCACATCCAGGCAGCCCTTGTTCTTTCCTCCAATGGCCCCAGGACTTGTTATTGCCTGGAAACCAGGAAATGGAGCCAGAGATGCAGCCATTTTTATTCTCTTAGCAGCTAAGTGCTCCACGAAGGCCTGGGGCTCTCCTAGGTATGGATTATTTCCATGGATGGCATGGCAGGTTCTGCCCCGGGGTTTGTGACACTGTCTGCTCAAGAGAGGCTTCCCACTGCTCAAGCGCTTGGTCTGCCAGGGCTCAGCGGGAGGCCGAGGTGGATTTTACTCTTTCATGTGGAATTGCTCTGCTTGTTTGGGTTTAAATCTCTGGCCCCAGCACTTCATTAGATGAGCTATTTTGGTCTAATTTCCAATAAGGGGTGCTTTTTTTTTTCTTTCTTTCTTTCTTTTTTTTTTAATCTCACAATGGCATATTTTTAAAGAAAGGAAATGAATGGAGCAAAAAAGAAAAAGAATTCCTGAGGACACATTAAAATGCATTGAGTCTATTTAATCTATTATTAGTCAGAGAGGGCTCAGATTCCCTGCCCCCATCACAAGCTTATCAAGCGGTAAGGGAGGAAGATGATTAAGAAGTTGGATTAAAAATTATCAGAGCCGGAGAGAGCATGCAGGGGTGAAGGCATTTGCTTTGCATGTGGCCAACCCCTGTTTAATCCCACATAGGAACCAAGTACCACCAGGACTGATCCCTAAGCACAGAGCCAGGAGTGAGCCTTGAGCACTATTGGGTGTGGCTCAACACCCCCCCCCATTAAAGGTATAAATAAAGAATAAATCATATTTATTGATCTGAAAATTCAGGGAAGGTCAGTCAATAGCCATGGATTCACCCTTCTTGGGGCTTGCAGGTAGCCATCTGGGAGTCTGGGAAGAGTCAGGAGAGGAAAAGGGAGGTGGTGGGAGGAGGACAGAAAGCCCAGCGACATGTGACTCCTTGTGTAAAACCCTCCCATCCCATACCCCATGCCCACATCAGTGTGTGAATACAGACCCGCCCTCAGCTCCCTCAACCGCTGCCTATGCCTCCTACCCCAAGAGCCAGGGCCAGGTCAGTTAACATCAAGACAGTACCTGGGCCAATGGAATAACGGAAAGACCTGGGACTGGAGTCCAGGTCAGTACACGTCAGCTTGAAATTTTGAATATTTGTGCCAACTTTCAGGTCCACTGGGATGGTAAGGAAGGAGGTTTGTGGAATACAAATTGGCTTTTCATCATTTTTTTCCAGGACATTGACAGTCACCTAGAGCAGCAAGAAAGTGGCTATTGTGAAGAGCTGATGGACTTAATAGCACTTTCCATAGCTAGTACTAACAGTGTCCTGGACACTTTTGTAGACAAGCTCATGTAACTAATACAATTGTTTCCATATTTTTATAAGAGGAAAATGGAGGTTTAAAGAGATTAGGACATTGGCATAAGATTGTATGGCTGGTATGCTGCATTGCTGGGATATGAACTCTGTCCTCCAACACCTATGCTCTTAATACCAATTCATGGGCCGGAGAGATAGTAGAGAGGTTAAGGCATTTTCATTGCATGCACCAGGTAAGGTTCACCACCTATGGTCCCCTGAGAACCTATGGATCACCAACAGGAGTGATCCCTGAGCACAGAGCCAGGCATAAGCCCTGAGAACTTACAGGTAGCACTGTAGCACTGTCCTTCCATTGTTCATCGATTTGCTTGAGGGGGCACCAGTAACGTATCCATTGTGAGACTTGTTGTTATGTTTTTGGCATACTGAATACGCTATGGGTAGTTTGTCAGGCTCTGCCATGTGGGCGGGATACTCTCGATAGCTTGCCAAGCTCTCTGAGAGGGATGGAGAAATCGAACCCAGGTCGGCCACGTGCAAGGCAAACGCCCTACCTGCTGTGCTATCGCTCCAGCCCTTATAGGTATGTCCTAAAATCCCCCCCGAACCCTGCCGCCCCAAATACCCGTTCATATGCCACTAAACACATGTACCTAGACGAACCACCTTATTTTCAGATGATGCTCAAATTGTTTCCCCAATCATGTTAAGGGGTCACCGGGACCTTCTTAGCTTCCTTGCTTGCTGCCCATGGGAAGGGAAGCTCTATCTTTAACTCTGAACTACAGGCCGGTAGTTCTCAAGTCCGGCTGCTCTTTCACAGGCCCCTTCCAGAGAAAATGAATTTACCTCTCTAGCAGGTAGGTCCCAGGCTCCTTTGTCCTGTATATTCCCCAACTGGTTTCTCCTATGCAGCCAAGGCTGAGACATAATGAGGAAACCTGGCTAAGCTGGATCTCATCTGTAACATGGGTCACCGGTAGCCACTAAACCAGTGACGCTCACCTGCCACAAGCAGGGATCAACCATTCTCTTTGCATATTGTCTTGTGATTGGAATTGGAGAGTGGACCGGGACGCCTGCCAGCAGAGACTCATCGGATGCCAGCCCTGAAAGGGACTTATGTGAGCATCACCCTTTTTAGAGCGCTTACAAATTTTGAGTTCTATTCTCTACCTTTGAAATTTGGGGATTGCAGCTCTTTCTGAGCCCAGGAATAAATTGAAATATTCATCCTGGTGAGCTCCCAAAGCAGAGTCCATTCATTTTTTTCTCTCTCTCAAAAACCTCACTTAACAAACACAACAATTATCTCCAGCTCAGCACATCCTTTCCTAGGCTTGCAAAGCCAAGCCTCTCACCTCATTAAAACCTTGGTGCTGTTAATTCAAAGCCAGTCACCAGAGGGACTGGACTGTTCCTGTACTGGGCTATCAGGTGACTCTCCATGTCAGAGGAAGAGAAAGTGGGACACAAAGATAAGCACGGCCCAGACCCTGCTGGAAAAGAGAGATGAAAGCTGAGACAGGAGCATCTCTGGATTCCGAGGCAGTCATTCTCCGGATCACAGGGGGCTGCCTGTCACACACTGAGTACCTTTTGCCTTAATGCTTTTTCACTTTTCTGAGAAAGACCACAAACTGGTCTTTGTGGCCATCCCATAAATCCATCAGATATCCTAATCACAGACACACACTGACCTACTAAATTCTTGCTACTCAGAGTGGGACCATGGATCCATGGCATGCCGAATGAAAGTGTGAACGCCACAGAATTTCAGGCCTGTTTCTGACCTGTTGTTGCAAAATCCACAAGATTTTCAACACAAACGTTGAGCCACATCATTTGTGTGGGGAGGGGGGCTGGGTCATGTCTGGTGGTGCTCAGGGATCACTCCTGGTAGAACTCAAGGGGACCATATGCAGTTTCAAGGATCAAACCCAGGTTGGTTGCAAGCAAGGCAAATATCTTAACATCTGCACTGTCATTCTGGCCCAGAATCACACTATCTGAAGACCTACCTCAGCTGCTATTATTGGAACATGGTGGGGGAGTTGGTACTGTTATTTGTTTACTATATGATTTACGTTAGAGTGGATCATGTATTTTGGTATCCCTTATCTTTTGTCAAGGATTAAAGCCAGGGGATTGGGGAGGGGGGAGGACAGAGAGCTTTGCCTTATGATACCTCTGCAGCCACATGTCACTGTGCCCAGCCCTAGGCAAGGGGAAAAATCCTGGGGGTTTCCCCCAGCCTCCTTCTAAGGACAGGAAAATGACTGAATGTTTTCTTGTTTTGTTTTGTTTGGAGGCCATATCTGGCAGTGCTCAGGGCTTACTTCTGGCTCTGCACTCAGGGATCACTCCTGGAAGGACTCAGGGCAACCCTCCAGGGGTGGCAAGCACCTTGCCTGTGGTAGTCTGGCCCCTGGATGGGAGTTTTGGACTCTAATTTACTGCCTCCCTGGCATATTCTATAGAACCAAGCGGTGAACTGTTGTCCTACATCATCACTGGCCCTGACCTAAGCTAGAGGGAGAGGGCCTCAGGGTGAGAGGCGTAGTTTTCTGAAACTCTAGTAAGCAACCAAATTCCCTTGACTTAGAGAAATAAAACCAACTCTTAAAATTTCACTCAATGCATCATTGTTTTTTGGACCATGAGCGAACCCACAAGCTGGGAAATGATCCTGCTCACAGAGCTTCTCTCGGCTAAGAAACCAAACACCACCCCTGGGCAGCAATCATGTCATCACCCACCCACCGCCCACTTCCAGGAGGCCACTCTCTGCCCATCCATCTCACTGCTCCTCCTCTCTCTCTCTTTCTCTCTCTCTCTCTCTCTCTCTCTCTCTCTCTCTCTCTCTCTCTCTCTCTCTCTCACACACACACACACACACTTCAGCCTGCAGATTTCCTGGACAACATTAGGTGTTGTCTGACTATGCTACCTGGTGCGTTGTTGGTCCTTTCCTGAGCCATTCACAGGACACGCTCTATTCAGATTCCCTATTGCTATTGCCATAGGCTCCTAAACTGATCAGTCTGGTGTTATCCACACACCAAACAGTTTCACTCACAGTGACCAAGCTCGTGTCCTGGCCATTGGTGGCCTGTATCCTGAGAACATAGACGGGGATTGTTTCATAGTCCAGTGGGGTTACCAGCTGCAGTTCTCCTGTTCGCGGATTAATCCAAAAGACATTTGGGTACTGGAGATCGGCCCCTCCAGTGACGATGGAGTACAGGACGGGACTCTGAGGGAAATCCTTATCTACGGCACGTACTCGGCCAACCTGCGTCCTGGCTGAAAAAAAAAATCAAATGCGAGGATTAGAGTTGATTTGGGCTGGGCAAGGAGGACTCAGGAACAGACATTAGCAGAAAAATATTGGGAGGCTTCTTGATTATTCAAACTCCATATGTTTTATGTTTAATTCTAGTAAATTTAAATGATGCCTAATACCATCTACTAGAGAGATGGTTCTGTGACCCACTGTGGTGTTGAAGTCAATTCATGCCTTGGTATGAGTTTTAAGAGCACCAACTCATTCAATGACATACAGTGCCACAAACAACTCACACACATACACACACACACACACACAACACACGCACAATATTTGCAGCAGTGTTGTGTCAAAAAAACTTGTCTTTTCTAATTAAATTGCTCTTATTAATAATATGACCAATAAACCTTTTTGTTTTGTTTTGTTTTTAGAGCACACTCAGCAGTGCTCAGGGCTTACTTCTGGCTTTGTGCTCAGGGATCACTCCTGGAGACGCTTGGGGGAACATATGTGGTGCCAGGGATTAAACCCAGTTTGATCACAGGTACATCCTACACACTGTACTACCTCTCTGCTCCCCCAAAATAAACTTTTTTAAAAAATATTTCAACAAGTATGACTACAGACTAGAGATGCTTAAACGCCATTTTGTTTTGCTTATGACACACATCTCATAGAAGGAGTTGCTGGAATTCTAACTTCTTTTGTAAAAGTTCTTTCTCACAAATTTTACTTCTCCGGGGCAACAAACAGACTTTCTCACTCAACTATAGAGCTCCAGGACGAAGTACTGGACCCAAAGTTGCAGGAGGGGATGAATAATGGCAGAAAAATCTGTGACTCTCTAGAAAGAATATTCTTGGCACATTTGTTATTCATCAGGTGAAATAGAAGGAAGCTGACACATCATTTGAACCCTCATCTTGTGCTTTGTTTAAAGCAACATCAGGAGATAGAGATGGCCTAAAGAGAGAAAGATGGAGTGGAAATGAGTTTAGAGGAAGTGCTTTTGCTTCTTTTCATATTTTTAATATAGTAGCATCCATAATACATGCATCCAAAGCAGTGATGCCATCTGTTCGACTAGAGGTAGTATTACCCCTTCAAACTGGAAGAGATGGGAGCAACTGCCGCAGGAGTTGAGACTTGGGGGAAGAGCTGCAGAGATTAACATGCTACTTACGTTAAAAAAAAAAAAATCTCCAGTGAATCTTCATAAGGAAAAGGGAAAATGTCTTTATGTTTTTAAATGAAGGAAACAGAGACATGGAAAGCCTTCTATTTTTAAATGTGAATTCTTGGAGTGATAACAATCACAGTGGAGACCAAGGTGGGGTACTGGCTACTAAAAGGGAGGATTAGTGGACTCAGCCACATGAGCAGGCAGCAATCAGGGGGCTCAGAAAAAGGCAGCTTAATCAACAGTTTTCAAAATCTAGATTTCACCCGAAGGGCTCCTTCACAGGAAGGGCAACTGGGAAAGCCAGAGATGCAATAAACATGAATCAGGGGTGAGTGGCTACACCTGACAATTTCTCAGGGTCCTCAAGGGGAATGTATCCCTCCCCCCACCACACATCAGGATGCAGAGATCCATTAAGGTGGTCTACATTTTGTCTGCTACTTACCTGGATTTAATTCAGACACCTCAAATAGGTAGGTTGGACTTTCAAATACAAGAGGAAACTCATTTTCGGGGCTTGTTATGATATAAATGTAGATGTTATCTTTAAAGAAAAAAAATAAATTAAAAAAATAAATTACAATATTCTGTTTTCATTCATTCCTTTATTCAATATGTTCCATCTTTAAATACCAGCCTCATGCATGAAGAAACCGGCAGAGGAACCTGGGTGTGTGGGACCCAGGGCTGAGATCTCTAAGCCTGCTCAGATCGGGACTGGGCCTCCTCCACCCAGATGCCCCATTTTCCAGTAGCTAGGCAGTTGCACCCAAAAATTGCCCCCAGCTCCACAAAATCCCATCAAGGAACAAGATCCAGAGACTATAAAACAAAGCTCCCAGAAGCGTGAGGCCATATTTGCAGCCGCTCGACCTCTTATGGTCTAGTTCCCCTTCTTGGAGAACCCGGCAAGAGTATCCTGCCCACATGGCAGAGCTTGGCAAGCTCCCCGCGGCGTATTCGATATGCCAAAATCAGTAACAACAATGAGTTTCATTTCTCCTGACCCTGAAAGAACCTCCAATGCGGCACAGTTGGGAAGGACGAGTAAAGAGAAGCTGCTAAAATCTCAGGGCTAGGACGAATGGAGACGTTACTGGTGCCTGCTCAAGCAAATCAATGAACAACAGGATGACAGTGACAGTGATACAGTGATGTGCATTAAAAAGAGGATACACGGTGAATAACTTGGGGTTACTTTCTTCAAGAGGCTTGGGGGTGGACCAGAATGATAGTACCAGTGGGTATGGCACTTGCCTGATACACAGTGATACGCAGCAGATTTGGGTTCAATCCCTAGCACCCCATATAGTCACATGAGCCCACCAGAATTGATCCCTGAGTGCAGAGTCAGGAGTAAACCCTGAGTATAGAGCCCAGAGTAAGCCCTGAGCACTCCAGGGTTGCCTCCACCCCAAAACAAACAAACAAACAAACAAAAAACAAACAAAAATGAGCCTTAGGGGAGCTACCCTTTGATAAACACTTGCACAAGTCTCTACAGAAGGAGGAACAGGAGCAAAAGAAGTAGACATGGGTTAAACATAGTCATGGGGAAAGAGCAGGAGTGGCACTTGGCAGGTGTGAAGGAAACAAGGTAGAAAAATGCACTTTTCAATTCAGAGAACTGTAGGTTAGTTGAGAAAAGAGGAATTTAGAGAAGAGAGATGGGATTTAAAGCTATAGACTCAGAAAGTGTCCAATGATGAAGGTTCTCATGTGTTGTCAGAGTCGGAACTTGGAAACAGAGAGGATAGTATGGGGGTTTTAAGGAGCTTGCCTTGCTTGTGGCCAACCCTGATTCCATCCCTGGTACCACTTATGGTCTGTAACCATCATCAGCCCTCACTCCTAAGCACAGAGCCACAAACAGCCTCTGATCACTTTTGGGTGTAGCTCCCAATCAAAACAAATAAGCTTGATTACTCTTATGCCCCAGGACTTTGGGAAGTGAAAACGGCACTGACAAGTCCAGAAAGATGGAAAGATTGAGGATGCATTGGAAAGGGGGCAGAGAGACCTTTCATTGACTTGGTTACAGTTCAGTAAAGACCCCGCATTAGAGTTGTCCAAGTTGGGGGAGGGAAGGAAGCGGCTGATCCCAGACACTTAAGGAAGGGACCCAAAAGAAAGGACTTGGAGGTGGATTCAGTTTGTTTGGTGCAGGACAGAAGGAGGCTCGGCTACCTCCCAAGTGTTGGAATGTTTTGAAATCTGCTTTTGAACACAAATACCTGTTTAGTACCTTGCAGCAGACGTCTAGCCCAGTCAGGGCTGCTGCTCAAGGAACATGCAATAAATGAACTGATACTTACTTTTGTAATAAGGAGGGGCAATGTCTTGCACCTGAACTATCACTGTATATTGATTGCCGGCTGCGAGGTTACTTGCATTTTCATAATCAAGATCACCGGTCAACTATATTAAAACAGAGATATTAGATTACACAAAAGAAAAAATTCCTTTTTATTGAGTAGACAAGACATTGTCATATTTGATACGTAAATTGACAAAGTCTTTCCAGGAAGCACTTCCCCTTATACAGGAAGAGGTATGAAAAGTGATATCTTGGGGCTGGAGAGATGGTACAGCAGGTATGGTGGTATGGTGCTGGCCTTGCAGACTACCAATCTGGTTCAATCCCTGGCATCCCATATGGTCCTCCGGCACTGCCAGCAGTAATTTCTAAGTGCAGAGCCAGGAGTAGGCCCTGAGCATAGCTGGGTTTGGCCCTAAAAGCAAAACAAAACAAAACAAAACAAATCACACACACACACACACACACACACACACACACACACACACACGTGATATCCTGGGGCCAAAGAGATAGTACAGAGATTAAAGTTGCATGCCATGCGTGGCCAACCCAAGTTCCATTAGAGCCAGTTGGAGGCCCCCAGGCTCACCAGAAGGACCTCAGTAATGCAGGACCTGAGCAGCACCACATCCTCAGGCCCTGGCTGGAATCTCCATGAGTGGCTCTGGGTCTACAGAGTAACGCCTGGGAGAGCCCCCCACCCCCTAAAAAAAGTGATGACCATAATTTTGCTCTTTGCCAAAGGTCTCATTTGAAAGAATTTACTAGGAGAGGGAGTCTAGATAATCTATTATACAAAGATATTCGCCAAGCATTACTATCTTCAGCTCAGTTGTGGGGAGGGATGGGTTAGAAGTTTATATGCAGGGATCTTGCCATCATTTAAACTACTTATCTATATGCACATGAAAAGGATGTTCATGAGGGCTATGCATCGGAGCAACAGCACCCTAAGAATAATTATCATGGAGTGACAACACTCTTCTGTGTTTTCTATAGTGCATTCGTTTCCTAAACAAAAAGAGAAAATAATTCTCTTGATGACGCTCCATACAATTGGTCAGTCCTTGGGAGAGCGAAGGCTTGGGGTGGACACGAGAGGCTGAGGATGCCAGGTGGGCCGGTGGCTTTCCTGAGGCTGGCATTCTCCCTTCTAAGGGGACTATCTACCCAGCTCAGCCCTCCCGGTTCTCTCCTCCTTTCCCTGACTCTAGCAGAAGCCCTGAAGGTAACTCTTTGAGAACCACCTTTTCTGCCCTTTCCTTACTGCAAATTCACTTTTGACCTGTAGAGCAGCAGTGGAGCAAATCTACTGACCCACCCTCATTTTCTCCTTCTCCTCTGAGTCATGAGTGGTTCTTTAGCAAAGACACTAGTGATCCCAGGTCATGTGACTCTTCCTTCTCTCCTTTAGGGGCCAGGAACAAACAGGTCTGGAGCTCACAACAAATAGCCAGTAGGCAGACTAGCAAGAATCCCAAGCACCCTGGGCACAAGTATGCAGAACAGGATTCCGGGAACTGGGGTCAAATAAAAGCGCCAACAGAGTGACTGTTAAATTAGTCAGTTACAGGCACCGGGAGAGGGAGTTGCCTCAGAAATGTCTCTCTGTGGGGCAGCAAAAAGCACAAAGCATGTTCTACCAGCTTCCCCGGTGCCCTCTCAATGACGCCACGACCATTAACTGACCACAATTTTCCCAGAGCCAGCTGGATCCTGTGAAAATCGGACGCTGCTCCCTGCTCCAGATGGTGAAGTGAAGTTGAATTGGTTGTTGGGCACCTCGCAGTCCTCATCAGAGCAGAACTTGTGCAGGTCCAGAAGCAGCGTCCCCTGGGCTGTGTTCTCGGGCACCAGCATGCTGGAGGAAGATAGGGTTCAAGACTCTGCCCAGCAAACGGTGACTGCGTGCTCCTTCTGACATAGGCCCAAGGCGAGACACCGCTGCTCTAATTTCAATTCAAAGTCAGTCCAAGGTTATTGCACGCGTGCTTGCACACACACACACACACACACACACACACACACACACACACACACATACACACACACACACACCAAGCAGGTGCTCCTGTTCGGCCCTGACCTCCTTTTAGACTATTCTTAACTCCACAGCCTGGGGGGTCCTGTTAAAAAAAAAAAAAAACCTCAGATCCTGCCACTCCTCTCTGCTCCCTAAGGGCTCCTTGATTCATTCAAAGTCCTGACTTTGATCCAGGGAACCATTCCTGCCGTGGGATCCCTTATCTTTCCTGCCTCAACTCACCTACCCACTATTGTTCTCTCTCCCTGGTCCTGCCCCTTCTGGTACTACTTGAACCCTCTCCCCAACTGCACCAGGCTCTTCCCACAAATGCCCATATGACTGGTGCTTTTGTTTCCTATAATCCCTGATCCAGCTTTTCCCAGACTGGGTGATAATAAAAGAGGAAGCCTCAGTTTCCCCTTGCCATCCCATTTTTGACTGCCCCCATCTTACATTTTTAACATTCCCACAAATTCCTGGGCTCTTTCTCGTAAATGCGAAGGCAACAATTCCCCAAGATCATAGATTCTGCCCCAGACCTTAGGCTCATCGAGACTAAGAGACAAGGAACTGGAGCAATAGCACAGTGGGTAGGGTGTTTGCCTTGCACGTGGCCTACCCGGGTTTGATTCCCAGCATTCCATATGGTCTCCTGAGCACTGCCAGTAGTAATTTCTGAGTGCAGAGCCAGGAATAACCCATGTGTAACTCCGGGTGTGACCCAAAAAGCCAAACAAATAAATAAATAAAAGACTAAGAGACAATAGGTAACCCAAACGGGCCCTGGCTAAATTGATAACCTAAAAGGCACAAAGCCAGCCAGATCACCTGCCTGATCTCTACATTCTCTGTAACATTTGACATCCCAATGACATAGTTTTCCTACTAAAAACCCCTGAAAGGAGCCATACATACTTAAGTTAGATCTAAATTAAGTTCCTCCCCAGGTGGGGGAGTTTTATTCTCTTCTATTTTCCAATAAACTTTTTTCTGTTTTCTAACTTTTGAGTCTAAGCATTTTTATTACTCAATATTTTCACTCTTGAAAATGTTGAAGAACCTGGTAACCACAGATGAGCACAGAGACCAGCCGTCACCACGCCTGCACTAATAGTGCCCAGTCCCAGGGTACCAAGATAAATTACAGGGGTGGGCTGGGAACGGGGAGTTGTAGCCTCTGGATTAATTGGGGTGAGTGCTTTCTATTTATCCTTAAAGAAGGTAGATTTATGGGAGGGGGGATAGTAGTGCTGAAAGATTTTCTTTTTCTTTTTTCTGAAAACAGGGTGATAGACCAAACAAGTCTGGGAAACTTAACTCTAACTCAGCATCCCATCTTCAATGAGGGCTGCCTGACTGCTATGTTTGAAACACCAGTTATCATGCCCATTGCATCCTGGACTGTTCCTGCGCCCTCCTCATTTTAAATTACCCTGGTATCTATTATAAACTATGTATAGTTTACTAATTTATCCCTCCTCCCCAAATACAGCACCACTCTACATTTGGAGGAATGTAGAGGGTACTCTGGTTAGGAAGAACCTCTATATAGGGTCCTCCTGCTCTCACCTTCAAGAAGAGCCTCAGGACATCTGAGCATCATTCACTCAATAGAAGTTTATTAGGATCACATCCAGGGCTCCTAACCTCAGGGTCATGGTTAGCTAGGTCAACTAACCTAGGTTAACACTAGGCAAATAATGCAGAGCTGCAAAGTTTCTCACTCCCCCCCCCCCCCCCCCCCCCCAGCTCAGAGGCCTTGGGGCAAGCCCGTATTGGTGAGGGAGGCTAGGTGTGGACAACACCCCTAGTCTGCAACTCACTGAGGAGCTTTACCACATGTGTGTGCAGAGGCGGGGAGGGTGGTGGGGACTGGACAGAGTTGGCGCACCCCTTAGTGGTGCTCTGGGGCTACTCCTGTCTCTGTGCTCAGGGATCACTCCCAGGTATGATCAGAGATCATGTATGGAGCCAGGGAATTGAACTTGGTGAGCAGGATGCCAGGCAAGCACCTTATCCCTGTACTGTCTCTCTGGCGCCCAGGGCTTGGTTTTTCTCTGTATAAAATAGACATAAATCATGCCAGTTAGCTTTTGTGACATCACAAACCAAAATGAAAGTTGGCTTAAACCCAGAAGCATTGATTATTCCTGACAACACTAAGGGCTATCCTTTAGTTCCTCTGGTTTTAGTTTGACTTGGTGGTTTTGTGGTTGCTGGCAGTTGGGGGCATGGGGGGAAGATGGGTAATCCAGGAGGATTCTCACGTCTAGTGTGAGAGGGATGGGTTGCTGCCTCGTGTTGTCCATTATCCTCCAGATCTTGGCAGAGACTAGCCTGGGTTATTCCAGTGCTTATGTCTGGGGGCCTGTGTAAGAGCTCAAGTTGCATCACACACACACACACACACACACACATATCCCTCTCAGCTTCTGTGAATGTTGCTCTGATCAAAGCCATTAACAGTCAGGTCCAGATTTAAGGACCAGAAATATGTTCCCTCTCATGCACGACAAATCCACATTGCAAAGGGGCACACACAGTGGGGAGGAATTAGTGGTTGAGGTTTCATGGATCTTTGCTTCTATGCTTTGTTCTGCTAGCTACCTCAAGCATGTTGGTCTTGGACAGATTCTCTTACAAAAATTGTTTGTGGCTACCCTGACAATGTGGCTGGAGGAGTTTCAGCCATGGGGGCCCAGTTAAGCACTGGCACCAGTTCTGACATCCTTGTCTGTGTTTGTGGTGAGGCCATGTGCCAACACCTGGGTGTGGCAGATACTAAGGTGGGCTCATTCCTATGACAAGTGACTGTGACTCCAGCACTTCCCCATGGCCTAGCCAAACCTTCCAAGAACACATTCCCGCTCCTCCTTTTTTCTCATCCCTTCTTGACCAGAATTCTGATCCTCCTGATGCACCCTATCCAGCTTTCTCCCCCTTTTAATAGCCATTGTCCTTCATGAAGGTCCTTGTGCATTATTCCATGTGGTGACATTTTGCTCTTGGAATGCCCAGATGTATGGTATTCAATTCTTTAATCCTCTTTACTTCCTTCTCCCTCTGTGGCCAAATGAGATTACATTTTTCAGTGAGGATGACTCTGATCTCTGCACTCATGGAGCAAAGCCTGACTGCTGGAGTGTTACCACCCCCCTCAAAGTGACTGTATGTCGCTTCCTGGAAAGGAATCTTTTGGCAGGTGGAACTGTCTACGATGACTCACTGGCAAAGGTGACCTCTGTATGTCAGCAGACCTGGAAGCCAAGCATCTCTGCTTCTGTATTGATTTCACAATGTCATACTTACATCACAAACAATTTATATGCTATATATATATACACACCAATGAAAATCACTACTTCTAATTCTCTCACCTTTCTTCCTCTCTCCTCCACCACTTCTTCTTGTCCTCTTCATCTCTGCCCTCCCTCCTTCCTCTCTATCTCCCTCCTCCCTCTCTGCCCTCTTTCCATTCTTCCTTTCCTTTCTTCTCTCTCTGGAAGACATTCCCAGCAGGTATCACCTGCTACAATCGGCATCTTGGGAGGAAGAGACAGGCAGTGTGGAGGGTGGAACCCAAGGCCTTGTGCCCACCAGGCGAGCACTCACCCGAGTCGCATGCCTGACCCAGGTTTGAATCCTTGTCCCCATTTTACAGGTGAAGACAGACTAGTTCAACACAGTTCTGTTGTCTGTGTGAGTCACTATAAATTCTACTTTAATTGCCATTGGTGGGTCTCCAGGCCCATAGATAGTCTGGGAGTCTGAGCCTTGATTGCAACTCTGCAATAATAAGGAAAATATTGCATCCAGAGAATCTGGTCCTGAAGTCAGACATCTCTCACCCTCCAAAAGGGGTGGCGGGGCCAGGGAGAGGAGGGTGGGGAGGATGGGAAGGGGTGGTAGTCAGTGTTGCCTGATGCTGTTCTTTTTATTCCTTCCTGACACTAGGTATTTTTCTCCTAAATGCTTAGAAAACCACTTCCCTCCTCCATCAGTCTCTGCCTTTACTCCCAGCCATCGGACCATGGTACCCCTGCTACCCCAAACTCCTTCCAAAGGTAACTGGCTCAGCCTCCTTCTCAATCTGAGACCTTCCCCTCTGGCTCTCAAACAGCTTGCAAAGCATTTACAGCCAAGCTCCTAACAATTTACAGGGCCATCATGCTGTCTCAGATGCCTCCACTGGGAGCACAGGGCACATTCATCCCCCAGCTTGGGAGAGAAAGACAGAGGAGCTGTTTCCATCTGAAGGGGAGGACCCCAGGGGGCTGTAGGCGCTCTGGGTATGTAGTCAGGGCCTTCTCTCACAAAGCGCTGGAGCCAGAGCCCAGAGGAAGGACTAAATATCCCGAGCCCAGTGCTGTCAGGAACGGCTGCTGTGGTTGGCTCAGGTGTGAGGGCAGGCAGGCAGAAGGGAACGAGGGTGGAAGCAGGGTCTGGGTTTCCCAGCCCTCGCACTCTGCAATCCAGGCTGGGTTTTGTGCAGCAAAATCTGCTGCTTCTGCCCTGGAAGCAAATAAGGTAAAGGTAAAGGCCCTCCCGTTGATCGTCGATTTGCTCGAGCGGGCCCAGTAACGTCTCCATCGGAGACTGTTGTTACTGTGTCTGGCATATTGAATACTCTCGGTAGCTTGCCAGGCTCTCCGAGAGGGGCAGAGGAATCGAACTCGCGTCGGCCATGTTGGCCGCTTGTAAGGCGAACGCCCTACCCGCTGTGCTATTGCTCCAGCAAATAGTCCTTTGTAATTCCGCTCCTCAAGGCTTTCCCAGGAAGGCAGCGAATTACTCTCGCTGGAAAAGCCTAGAGGAGGATCTTGAGCATTTTGTGGATTTACCTGCAGTGCCAAAAACAGTAACACAAGTCTCACAATGGAGACATTACTGGTGCCCACTCGAGCAAATCGATGAACAACAGGAGGATAGTGACAGTGACTAGATAAAATTAGTCTGGTTATTGGCTGGCAGGGCAAGCTCCCATACAGACTGGTGCCTGGACAGCCTAGCATACTCAGCACGTGACTTTTCCAGCGAACACAAATGCCATCTGCAAGCTGTCACCCACATGCCAGGGGACTTGGGACCCCAGGAAGTCACACAACTCCCAGGAAGTCACACAATACCCCGCACAGAAATGTACGAAGGGAAGGGAATATCAGGGGGAACAAACCAATGGGGAACAGGGATAATTCTGCAAAGAAGACAAAGGAATGGGAACTTCTCCTGACAGTCCAGTCTTTGGTCTGTGACTTTTGCAAAGCCATCCAGTGCCTTGGGCCTATGCCCAAAGTCACTGGAACTTACAAAGACAACTGGCAATACCAGCCTGATAAATCCAGCAGAGACTCCCTATGGTGGGGTGGGAAGGTAGAGAACCTGAAAAGTGAGACCTGTGCTATCTCGAGCATGAGCCCAGATCAGGTAGAGTCACCTCCCTGGCCCAGCCCATCTCCTGAGAAGCCACTATAGACACCCCCAAAACTGCTGAGGAGCTCTTACAGAAACCACCAAAATGGCTTGGGAATGACTCATCTCGTAGCATTTAGACTAAATCAAAGACAGCACTGTTCAAAAAAGCATATTCAGGGGCTGGAGCGATAGTACAGCAGGTAGGGCATTTACCTTGCACGTGGCCAACTAGGTGTTGATTCCCAGCATCCCATATTGTCCCCCCGAGCACTGCCAGGAGTAATTCCTGAGTGCAGATCGAGGAGTAACCCCTGAGCATCACCGGTTGTAACCCCCCCCCCAAAAAAAAGAACAAAAAAAGAGTATTCATCCCAAACCACAAGGAAGTTAATTTTTTAAGTGATGGGAATAGGTTGTCAGACAGAGGTCAAACAGATGAAATAACTTGCATCCCACTTGTATCTGCACTCCATTCCCGACCCCCACCGCTTTCTGTTTACAAGCAATTAAGTTGTGAGATGCTTTGTTTTGTTTAAAGTAAATACTTGGTTTGATTTATTCATATTACTGGTGTTTCTCTGGGACCACCTAGTTACTAATCCTAGGTCTCCAGCATCTATTATAACGGCTAACTAACAGCCCCAGCTTGCCATTGGTAGCAATAAATAAAGAAAAGGTACAGTCCAGAGAGAGTCTAAGAAGTCCCTGTGGTACTTTTCACCACAGAGATGAACACACTGTAGAAGAGAGAGAAATTTAAAAAAAATAATACTGTTTCACCGAGCAAGACAGGAGCAGGGAGACAGTGAGGGGGGAAGAGAATAAAGAAGGTTGGAGAGGCAGGACGAGGGGCAAGCGCTGGCCCAGTGTGTAGCTGAGGTAGAGACCTGAGTTCCAATCCCAGTATACCCACCTTACCCCAGCACAGTCAGGCATGGCCCCTGAGAACAGCCAGGTGTGGCCCCTAAACAAACAAATCTACAAATAGAAATGAAAAAGATGCAAGGAGAAGGGCCAGGGCCATGAAATCCTATCTCCTCTCTCAGAAGTTCAGGTTTTCCAGGGAGCCGTTGCCCCAACATATCAGTATTTATCACTCCCTCCCTCAACTCAAGAGCAGTCCAGTGACATTAAAAGGGTCACAAAAGAGGTGACAGGGTCAGCAGGTCTCAGGTTGTATCTACCTGAAAGAGTACTGGGAGCAGGCGGCAGGGTGGTCATTGATGTCTTCCACGATGAAGCTGACCTGCATGCGGTTCTCCTGACCCCCGGAAGGCCGGTCCTTCACCAGCACTTCCAGAGAGATGGTGGGATTATGTCTCAGTCCACCGGTGTCTCGGTCAAGCCTGCCTGCCACTTGAATGGTGCCGGTCACTAAGAAGGCAAAGGGGAGACCATGACTCTTTTTTTTTCTTTTTTTGGGGGGCGGGGGTCACACCTGGCGATGCGCCGGGGTTACTCTTGGCTCTGCACTCAGGAATTACCCCTGGCAGTGCTCAGGGAACCATATGGGATGCTGGGAATTGAACCTGGGTCTGCCACATGCAAGGCAAATGTCCTACCTGCTGTGCTATCACTCCAGTCCCGAGACCATGACTCTTGAAGAGAAATAAGAGCTAAAGGTAGACAAGACTTGAGCAGATGGAGACGAGCACTGGGACATACACCTTGGTTTCCAGAGAGAAAACTCTCTGTACAGAGGGCCACAAAATATTCACGGAGCCCACAGATGGACAGATGTGGCCCAGTGGTAGTGCCTGCCCTGCCCACATCCCTGAGTACAATCCAGGGGTGTCACAGGACCATTGGGATCCCCATCACCCCAGGACAGAGTTTGAGGTCACGGGCACTATCCCCAAGTCCATGTCATCACCAGGACCAAAGTATGTTACTCGGAACCTCGTACCCACAGTGACCACTGCAGAGGAGATGGGGAGGGGAAGAGGTCATCTCAGTTCCAGTAGTAGACACTGATTGTCTAATCAATCAGTATCAGTTCCAGAATTAGATATTGATTGGGTTGGGGTGTCTGAGCTGATCTTTCTAGAATTTTTCTGTCCAGGTTGAGGGCCAGGCCCTCAGCAGCAGCCCTGCATCTCAGTTGCCAGGGCTGGCCGACAGCTGACCCCTGTGTGGCATACCAGGTGCTATAGGGGAGAGAAAGCGGGACTGAAAGCTATGACTATTGTGGGGTTCACACTGGCAAACCCACTCCTGGGGTCACCAGAGCAGCATTGATTCTAACCCCGGGGAAAGATTTGCCAATCACACTTGTTCTCATGAGAGATCCAATAGCCTGGTGATACAGAGTCCTCCTGCCTACATTTTTTCTCTTGCTTGCTTTTGTTTTTTGATACTTACAGCAGCAAGTCTTTACTATAGTCTTTAGTTCAGGTTGCTGTTCAAGCAGTCTGAGCATAAACAGCATCCTGAACTATGTATGTCCCTGCCCTATAACTGGGTGAAGATCTCAGCAAGAATGCATGAGAGGAGGAGGTTATTCAGAGATGGAACACTAGGGCTACTATTGCCTGCCCCTCCCAGCATAGGTGTCCTTTGCGCTAACCTACAGGTGGGAGCCAATAACAAATTCTCTTTCTACAATGGTCCAGTGCAGGCCTCCATGCAGCCATTAGGTAAAATCAAATCCCTTCCGGGATATAATAGGCACCCACAACAGGCTACGACAGAGGGCAGGGAAGGAGGGCAGCTGAGGAATTGGGCAGCTTTGATTGGTATCCTGCTTTGCAACCAAGGAGTCACAAAACCTTGGACAAGTCACATAAGTCTGCCCAAGTCTTTTGCTTGCCCTTCATTTCTTCATCTGTATAGTGCGCATCATGGTAGTTTTGTGGGGTGGCTGTACAAAGCTCCTATTTGGAATAATCGTTCCATAGTTTGCATATATACTATACATAGTTCTTGGCCTACTCTTAGTAAAAGGTAGTTATGAGAGGGGGACAAAACTCTTTTCTTCGCACTGAGATATTAGATGGAAATATAACTTGCAGCCACCTAGCAGGTGTATCTAGATTGATGCTCTCCAATAGATTAATTGGTAGCCACATGTGGCTTTTTAGGGCTTGAAATGGGAGTCATCCAAATCTAGTCCTGATCTAAATATAAAATACAGTATTTCATTGCATGATGGTGACCACTTACTTCATCATCATTGTACCGTCTTTTCAGTCTAAAAACTGGTTTACAGCCTGTCATCATGTAATTGCTGCATGATATAATTCCATTTGTCACGCTGCTTGAAAGGTACATAGAGCAGCAATATTCGCCAGTGACACCTGAATGCTTGAGTTTGAGGAGCCTCCAGCCTAGATTTCCTAGGACACGCACGCTGTTGATGTTGCTGATGTATTTCTAAAAGCTAACTTGTGTGGCTTGTTTAGAATGCTGCAATAGCATTGGTATTGTCCCTCAACCCAGCTGTAGGACAAGGATAGCTGGTGGATAGGTGAAGCTTTCATGCACCTTTCTTCCTATGTTGGCTGAATTGGCAATCACCTGCAAGAGATACAGAGAAACAGCCAGTTCTGCACTTTTTAGTTTCCAAGGTCACACTGTGGTAAAATGATGCAACTTCTCATACAAGTAAGAGGCGACTATCATTTCCAGTGGCCTAGTATCTATCTTACAACCTCTGGATATCTGTGTAAACAAAGCTTTAAAAGACCACTTGCACTGTCTCTCCAATAGTGGATGAGCAGTGATCACCAATTGATGCCCGCTGGAAATAATAAGCACTCGGCCTTGGAGCTGTTATGCATGTGTGTAATTAAAAGTTGGGACATGAAACATTTGTCAAAGATCTTTAAAGATTCAGCACATTTAAATGTACTCTACCAGTGTTCTTCAACCTTTCTATAGCTGCAGCCTTCTGTGGCCTGTGGATGAAGACCACTGCCTAGATGAATCTGGAGATGTGCCCTGTAGCAGGTCAATGAAGAAAATAAATATTACATGAGTGGTGCTGAGGGTGTCGATAAGGAAACCGATAATAACAGTGCAGAATCTTGGGACATAGAAGATTAAGTTTTGTAAATCCATGCTTTGCAACATAGTAGTAAATTTTTTTGAAGTGTAATAATTTTGACTATAATGCACAAATCAATAGCAACTAATGTGTGTGTATTTTTTCAGACTGGAAAAAATGTTCACTAAACTGTCATGAAGAAACAAGGTATATTGATCTGGACTATCTGATTTTAACATCTATTCATGGATATTTTGTGCACCCTAATCTTACACCAAAGACAGCTAATAATAAGTGATTTTTAAAGCAACAATGGCACAATTTTTGACAAGCTTCACATAGTGCTTGCACCCTACTTCATGCAAAAAATAATTGGTTGAAATCTGTGAGGCTTCTGTGGTAAGGTATGGTACACAAACACCTTGATGACAGAGCAAGCACATATAAATTCCTGATTAATAGCTCTTAAATAAGTATTACATGCAAAATATGAATATTTGTTATATATTGAGATCAGTAAAATGTCTTATTAAAGTTAATTTCACCCATTTCATTGTATTTTAAAGACTGTAACTATGAGAGCCTCCAGTGTGTGGATCTACTTCCACTCTGTTTCCACTGGACAGCAGTGGTCTGGGTCATCTCTCTAGAAGACTTTGAGATAACCTTAGGACCAGGAAGCTGTCTGTCCCTACAGATCCACTGACCACATAGATAAAGGATGAGACAGTCCGTACAGGGTCCTGTTCAGTTTCCCAATGCCCTTATAAGTTGCTTTTAACATGTCTGTTGAATGATGTTAAAACATGTTTCAATCCTGGTAACTTAAGCTGTTCTTGCCCCCCACCCCCACTCCGCCCGCTTTTTTTTTGGTCGGGTTGCTCCTGGCTCTGCACTCAGGGATTACTCCTGGCAGTGCTTGAGGGACCATATGGGATGCCAGGGATTGAACCCAGGTTGGCTGTATGCAAGGCAAATACCCTACCTGCTGTACCATTGCTTGGCCCCAACTTCAGATGTTCAAGGGCAGTGATTCTCAACCATTTCCCAGACATTAATCTCCTTCCAAATTCTTTTGTCTTTTTGTGACGCCACTCATTACCTTGGGCTGGAGCAATAGCACAGTGGTAGGGCGTTTGCCTTGCACGCAGCCAACATGGCTGACCCGAGTTCAATTCTTCCGCCCCTCTTGGAGAGCCCAGCAAGCTACAGAGAGTATCTCGCCCACAAGCTACCCGTGATGTATTCGATATGCCAAACACAGTAACAACAAAGTCTCCAATGGAGACGTTACTGGGCCCGCTGGAGCAAATTGATGAACAACGGGAGGACCGTGACCGTGTGACGCCACTCATTACCTTAGGCTGGAGTGAAAGCACAGCGAGTAGGGCGTTTGCCTTGCACACGGCTGACCCGATCGACCCAAGTTTGATTCCTCCACCCCTCTCAGAGCGCCTGGTAAGCTACCGAGAGTATCTCGCTCACACGGCAAAGCCTGGCAAGCTACCCGTGACGTATTCAATATGCCAAACACAGTAGCAAGTCTCACAATGTTACTGGGCCCGCTCCAGCAAATCGATGAACAATGGGAGGACAGTGACAGTGACTCATTACCTTCTGTTGGTTTCATGTTGTAGCCCTCCTATTTATGTGATTTTTACCTGTGGCCCCCTTGGAATACCCTGGGGATCCATTTGAGACCGTATGGTCCCATTTGTGAAATATTGCCCTAGGACATGTTCCAGATTCAAAGACAGAATCTTTGTCAAACCGTTCAAAGGGCTAAATTGGTAGGATGCACAGAAAGAGGTGTGTGTGTGTGTGGGGGGGGTGTGTATGCATGCACACATGTGCAAGTGGGTGTGTGGGGGTGTATGTGCATATGTGAGTGTGTCTGTGAGTATGGATGTGTGAGTGTGTGAGTATGTGAATGTGTGTGAGTGTGTAGGTATGTCTGTGTGTGTTAGTGCATGAGTGTGTGTGAGCATGCGTGAATGTGTGTGAGTATATAGGTATGTCTGTGTGTGTGTGTTAGTGCATGAGTGTGTGTGTGAATGAGTGTGGATGTTTGAGTATGTGCATGTGTGAGTATGTGTATGTCTGGTGCATAGTATGTGTGAGTGCATGAGTATATGCGTGTGTTTATGTGTGAATATGTGTGAGAGTATTTGAGTATGTCTGGGGTGAGAGCATGAGTGTGCAGATGTGAGTATGTATGAATATGTCTGTGTGTGTGCATGTAAGCATATATGTGCATGAGTGTATGGATGCATGTGAGTGCATGTACATGAGTGTGTGCATGTGTGTGTGTGTGTGTGTGTGTGTGTGTGTGTAGGTACGTTTTGGTGTTTGTATGACTTACATGGATTGATCCTGAAATAGCTGTTAACAGTTGTGATGCTGTAAAGGAGAAAGTGGGCAAAGCCTGTATCATCTGGGTCCTCTGCGGTGATATTGGCCACAATGGTTCCCACACTCAGCTCCTCAGGAATCATATACACTCGCTTTAAGCTGGAACAGAAACACAGCAGATGGAGTGAATTTTCAGGGGCATAAGAGCAAGAAACCTAGGAGGTGGAGATTTAGGTTAGTGCTAAACACAGTGAGGAGCTATTGGAGCTGCAGCTTCAGGAAGAGAGCGCTCTTCCCTGGAAGAGGGCAGGGGCAGTTAACTTTTGATCTGAGGATCACATTCCTGTGGGTGCAAGCTAAGGACCATGCCAAAGCCTGTCTGCCTAGATGCCATTTCAGAACAACAGCTGCATTAAAAGTTTAGAAGATGAAGGTTGACAGTCTGTCCAGCCCTCTTCTTTCCTCCCAATACGGTTCCCTCAAAAACTTGGAGAAAAAAAATATATATATTCCATCTGGTTATCCACCGGATCTGAGAGTTCCTGACTTCTACCCCATGGATGCCACCAGTAGCCAAAGAAGTGACAAACCTAGATTTAACTCTCCAGTGCCTTTGTTCACTTTTCCCCTTTCCCACACCCTGTCTGAGGAGGCAGAATTCACATCCTCAACTTGCATGCCCTCCAGAGTGGCAGGAACAAGGGGGTCAGCACTGGAACAGGGACTTAGACCCCTGCAGAAGCAGAAGCCTGGTAGTAGGATCTTCCCCCAAGGCTGTTTACAACCTAATCCCAAGGAACCAATTCACCCATCTCCCTCAGACCACTGCAGCCTTTTGAAAAGTGTTAAGTGTACAACATTGTTAACTTGAGTATCATTGAAAGCACCAAGGGAGGCTTATTGTTTTAAAATAGCTCGGAGACATCCTTTAGCTGAGGGAAAATTATTTCAGTGGGGTCAACAGTCATCTCAAATTTAGCAGTTTCCTACTGGATTCCCATCAACAGAGCCCTGGATAAAGAATTTGTGGCAGGGCTTATGTGATGGAATACTTCTCTGCTGTTCAAAAGATGCAATTGAGTGTTCAGAGAGATAATACGGCAGCTAAGGCGCTTACATTGCATGTGGCCAACCTGAGTTTGATCGCTGGTACTGATCACTTGAGCACTTCTAAGAGTGATCCCAGAGCCCAGAGCGAGGGGTAAGACCTGAGCACTGTCGGGTATGGCCCAGCCCCTACCCACCCCACCAAAATAAAAGATGAAACTGTGTTCTTTTACATAATATGGATAGAGCATGTAGTGATATAAGGAAATAAAGATAACGGTCAGATGTTTTTACCTATAGGTGGAATATTACTCAGGCAAATAAATTGGCAAAATCGAACAAAACTAACTCTTAGAGTCAGTGAAAACTATGGTAGCTACTGAAGGGAATGGGGACTGGATATGAGGGATGAGGAAAGGTATCTTTTGGTGGTGGAGGGGCACTGGGATATTCTGGTGGGGAGGGTGAGTCTTACATACATGTAAAGGGATTATGCCATATTTCTGAAATTCTGCTACATTGCAAACTAATTATAAAAAAAGATAGCTTGGTTTTGGGCCACACCTGGTGGTATTCAGGATTTACTGGCTCTGTGCTCAGGAGCATCTGCTGCCAGGGCTTGTAGGACCATGCAGTGCTGGAAATCAAGGCTGGGTTGGCCACTCACAAGGCAAGTGTTCTACCCACTGTACTATCTTCCCAGCCCAAGTGAAATGTTTTAATGACTAATGTTAGAGATTTCTTAAGGTGGCATTTTCCAACTTCTTTAAACAGAGTTGTTGTGTCCTATTTGCGTGATTGTTTCTTTGTGACCTGTCTCATCACTCCTGAAGGGCAGGGAGGCCAGAGAAAGGAAAGAGGAGAGGGAAATGCAGCTGGAGCTGTAATCTTGGGACCGTTAGAGCTCCTCCTCAACTCCTAGGTTGGCCCCTCAATTATGAGATGAACTTTCACAGGTACAGCCCATTACTGGGGGCACAGGGATCTTAGTCCAATAGCCTACCCTGGGCCCTGGGCTCTCCACACCCAGGGTCCCTTGGAAGCAGTGAGCTAAACTGCTCCCTCACAGACACCACCCACCCCACTCCCTGCCCTGTCTCAGGATCTCTCTGTCACTACCCATAATGGGTCAGTTATACAAATGTGGACGAACCAAGGAAGGGAGGGATGCAAGAACAAGAACATGCCATGGAAGTGATGTAAGCAGGCAGGCAGATAGGGAAGGCCCCTTCCCAAGGCAATGGCAATAAATTTCCTGGGAAGTAATAGCCCTGAAGTTGCAATAGCCAACCTTGCAGAAAACAGGAACTAAGGCCTGAGAAGACCCTGACCTGGCGCCAACAACACGCCAACAACAAGCAGAGAAAGCTGGACACCCTCCCCCACCCAAGCTCCAGCAGGAAAAAATGGCCAGGAAAGGAATTTCAAAGAAGACCTTCGCCACTCCCAAACACCTTGTAACCTCCTTAGCAAAGGACTTTGACCTAGGGATAAGCCCCACATGGGAGCAGGTTGGAGAAACCCTATAAAGGCCACCTTGAACAAAGAAAGAGCACCCATATGCTGCTTGCATCCACATAGCTGAACACACATGTGGGGCCCAAGCACATGTGTTACCCAAATCTCCTCTCTTAAAAAGAATCTCCTCTCTTAAAAAGTTTCGTGCCTAATGCTGGGATGTATGTAGGGGATCTCTGAAGTTTGGGGCACAGATATGTTAGTCCAAGAGCCCGCGTTCTCTCTTGAGCACATTACCGTCTACTCTCTCCCACTTTCTCTTCCTCCTTCCCTTCAAAACCACCAAATAAAATCTGTTTCACTTCACTGAAATTTTTTTTCTGTCAGGCGAGACAAGAACCCAGTAACCCTGGGTCCCAGGTGACACAGGCAGATGGGGAGAAAGTGATGGTCTTTCTCCTCCCCACTTCACATAAGCCACCTATGGGGCCCACCGACATCAGAAGAAGGGAGAAGACTGGACTGAACCTCTGCCCTGGCCTGGCCTGAGAGCTCTCCCTTCTAGCAGGGTCACTTTTTCCATTGGTTTCTACGAGCAGGAGCCATTCACTTCAGACAAAGTACTCAGATACCTGCGGGCATTCACAGCCTCCTGGCCTGGCCCATGCATTTTGGTTTTATTTGTTTGGGAAGCACACCTGGGAATCAGGGCATATTCTTTGTTCTGGGCACAGGTGTGAGCCCTGGAAGTGATTGGGGGGCCATATGGGGTATTGGGAATCAAACCTGGGTCAGTCGCATACAAGGCAAGCACCTCATGGTGCCATCTCTCTGGCAGAGTGTGCATTTCTAACAGATTCTCCAAGTGTCAGATCACATGCAGATCTCAGGTGGGGCTCTGCATTCTTACAAGCTACTCAGAAACTTGCGTGTACTTCACGGTCTGAGTTCCACTAACGGAGATTGCTGGGGATTGAACCCAGGGTCTCACAGATGCAAAACAAGTGCACTTCCACTGAGCTGCTTCCCCTGCCCCACGTAGGGATCTGAGGAACACTTTTGTAAGGACTCACCAACCAGTAGGGACCGCCATAGGCTGGCAGCCCCACTGAGGGCACAGCCCACCCCTCAGTGGGTTTTCAGTGGGGTGGGCTGTGTCTGGAGACCTCTCCCACTTGTCAAACCAGGGAAGGGAGATGCTGCTGGCCCCTAGGGCATAGAGGCAGGGATGCTGCTGGACATCCTGCCATGCATGGAGCAGCCCCCACAAACAGCATGCACTGGCTCCAGCCATCAGCCATGCTGCTGTGCAGAGACCAGCTCTGCAGGCTTGTGATGTCCACACCGAGTCCTATGGGGAAGCAGAGCCCAGTAACAGGGACTATCAGGCTGTGGGCAAAGGCCAGCTCCTTGGTTGTAAAAATAAACTCTCCTTGACTGACCTGCTACTGAGTGCAGCAGAAGGGAAAAAATCCTTGATTGAATTTGGGGGGATCCAAGAACCCCAGATATGTATAAAACACTATTCAATATAAGTGTTTCCTTCAGACTAGAGTCATGTTCTGCTTAAAGCATAGGAACCCCATAGTGTATCGATAGACTGAAGCTCTGACGCCCTCTTCCCTCCCCACACCCTTCACCCCCTTACCACTGAATAGAGCATCAAAGCCTGGACACAGTGCAGGCAAGAGCCAATGGTCATGCTTGTGGGAGTGAATCCTGATGATAACCATGATGTTTCTGTCTTATAAGTGAGGGTTCAGGAGGCTCAGAAAGTAGGTCTGCACTGCCAGATGCAAGACTGAATAGTCCAGGGCATCCATTTTTTAAAAAGAGGAAAGAAAGACCTGCCACCCTCCTTTGAAACACAGAGCTCTGCAGAAACAGCCAGGGCTGAGCTTGCCAGGATGTGAGCTGAGGGGAGTCATGTGCTTTCCACAGTCAAGTGTTCAGGTTTCCTCACAGCAGGGCCCCTCAAACACCTGGTGTGAGCCTGTAAAGCATTCAAATGTCAGAGACCACCTGAGATCAAAGGGAGAGTAGTTCTGGCCAAGGGGCAGGGAGGGATGGGTAGATTAGAACTGGCACACGGACAGAGAAGCCAGAATGAGGGTGTGAAGGCGGGTGGGCATCTGAGCACTTTGTCAGGAGTGTTTGGATCCTGCTCCCAGTAACCAAAGGAAGAAAGTGACCCTGCTGGCAACGAGTGCTCCCGGTTCATGGACAAAAACTCAGTCCAGTCTTGGAGCACCGGCTGTCCTCCTGCCTCTCTCCCCAGTCCATGGAACATCCCTGTTTCTGCATCCCAGCCCATGGACATAGGTTTAGCCCAGGTTTACACTCCACTTCCATAGCGTGTTCCTGTTCCTTCACCCCTTCCCTCCTTGGCTTGCCTTATTGGACTATTGTGGGCAGCGGCCCAGAGCTCAGGAGATGGGGGTGTCTGTGAGTGGATTAGCAGGTTGCTTCTGTGGGGCCTGGGTCCCAAGAGCCACTGGGCTGGGTGGTGGTCTGCTGGCCAGCTCCTCCTTTGGGGGTTTTATAATGAAGTGCTTGTGTTGTGTGGGCCAGTACTGGAATCTGGATCTGGGCTCCAATGTCACAACTATTTATAAACTGCCTTGGAGGAGCCCCGTCAGCAGAAACATACTGCAGCATCCTCAGAGCAGCAGACCACGGGCTGTGAGTGCTGGGCCAGGCTGCACAGGAGCACCCCACGAGGAACCGCTGACTCCACAGCATGTCCAGAAGTGGTACGGCAGTGACATGCTTTGCCAAACGGCACCGGGCCGATCCAGGAATGTGGAACTGGCCTTCCCATCTCCCAACATGAGCGTGCTCTCGCCAGCATTCTGCCTCCTTCCTTTTGCTGGCAAGGGCTCCCGAGTTGAATCTAGCCCAGTCATCAGTGCACCCAGGCAGGTGACTCTGCCCCATTCCTCGTGTCTGATTCCAGGAAGGGAGCATGCAGAGTTTGGGAGCCAAGCGGTTTGCAGGGGGTGAGATCCTGGTCCAGGATGCTGTCATCCCCTCCTCAATTCTCCATCGGTCGCAGGCTAGGGCTTTTTTTTGTGCCCTGTGTTGGTGGGGGCTACTGCATGCCTTGCATAGGTTTGCCATCACATCTGCTTTCATTCCTCAACTCTGTGGATGCTGAAACTGCCAGATGTGTCTTGCATCCCCAGTGACAGGAAGAAACTTTAGCGTATACAACAGAGGGCAACGGGGCAGCTTCTGAGGCCCCACAGAACCTTTTCCCTGGCCCCGACTCCTCAGTCCAGGGCTGAGGCTCAGGCACTCAGGGAGTCTGCGCTTATCCTCACCATAACTCACTTCTGAAAGCACCTCCTTATCTTCACTCCCCCTGAACACAGCTGCACCTCTACCGCACCCCTTGTCCACCAGAACCACAGTCTCATGTGCATGTGGGTGTGGAGGCATGGGGCACAGAGGTGAATAAGGGGTGTCTGGAGGCCCAGATGAAAGACACAAAGGAGTGGCCGGAGTGATAGGACAGTGAGCAGAGCACTTACCTAACATACAGCTGATCTGAGTTCAATCCTCAGCATCCTATGTACATTGCCTGAGCATGTACATTGCCAATAGTAATTTCTGAGTGTAGAGCTAGGAGCCATCCCTGAGCACTGCTGGGTGTGGCCCAAAAATGAGAGAGAGAGAGAGAGAGAGAGAGAGAGAGAGAGAGAGAGAGAGAGAGACCTTGGGCCTTTGAGCCCTCCTTGGTCTCCCATCTGCCAGAAGCTGTGTCTGTTGTGGCGCAGCCAAGCCACCTGAGCGGCAACACCTACCTGGTAAAGCGGGGGCGCTCATCGTTGATATTAACGATGGTCACTTGGATGTCTGCGGAAGCTCTGAGCCCTTGGCTGTCCCTCACTTCCGCAGGGAGATGGTAACTGCCAGGGAAATATAGCCAGGGAGAGAGTCAAGCTCTCCTACACCACAGGTGGGAGGAAGAAGGCAAGATCCTGTCCCCTCTCTGACTAGCACCTCCCCGCCAGCTGAGGGCTCCCAAGCCAGACCCACTGCCTTCTTCTTTTTTTTTTTTTTTTTTTCTTTTTAGGTCATACCTGGCGTTGCACAGGGGTTTCTCCTGGCTCTGCACTCAGGAATTACTCCTCGTGGTGCTCAGGGAACCATATGGGATGCTGGGAATTGAACCCGACTCGGCAGCATGCAAGGCAAACGCCCTACCCACTGTGCTATCTGTCCAACCCCAACACTGCCTTCTTTCTCTACGTCTAAAGCTCATGTCTCCATCCCACACCCATAGCCCCATCCTCTCACAGAGCGTGCCTGCCCTGGCCACACTCTCTCCTGTGGGCCTCACTAGATGAGCCAGGTTCTTACAACCTGAGCAGGGTCAGGAGCCAGGAAGCACACCTGGGTTGCCCCCCAGCCTCGGTGTTTCTAGCCTCCAGCCTGGCTGACGGCACCTCCCTTCTCAAGCCCTGCATCCTGCCGCCTCTCCAGTGCCAGAAGGGCACCTCCAGAGGCTTTGGGAGCCTTCCTCCTCACCTTGGTTTGGATTTTCTGGAGGTAAAGTTTTAGGAATGGAGGCCTTCCAGCTCACTACTTTGTTCCTTCTATCTCGGAGGGCTCACTGTCCTCCGAACTGAACGGGGAGGTTCAGTGCCCAAAAGATGCACTCTACTCTATGTCTGCTCTTGACCGACCTTCAGGTAAAAAGCACTTCCCACAAGATTGGCAAAGGCTACCTGTTGGGTCCCACTTCAAAGTCGAATGTTGTTGTGGAGAAGAGGGTCCCATCTGCAGACACATTGAAGTTGTTTACGGGAGAAACCAGGAAATACTGAGAGAGAGAAAAAAAGGCATGCAATTAAGCACCTTTAATGCATCTTCTCAGAGATGGCTTGGTTCAGTGGCTATTTGATATTCTGGATCCACGCAACATTCTTTTTTTTTTTAATTAGTGAAACACCATGAGGTATAGTTATAGACTTACAAATTTTTATGCAACATTCTTGATGCACCAAAATGAGCTTCAAATGGGAAGGTCATAGACTTTGTGGATTCTGAGTCATGAAGTATTTGGATCTGTTGGTCTGAGTCACTGCCCTTCATTGGACACACCCTGAGAAGCTGTTTATTGAATGACCATTTCTTTAATGACCAACTTTCTGTCTAGAAATTCAACCTCCTATATGTCACTGGAATTGCCCTTCTACTTCCTAGGACATTCCTGGCTTTGGTTTTTGTGTTGACTTTAACCAACCTGGTTGAATCACTGCTACCAAAGAATATTAATGGGGTGAAACTAAGCCAGTCAGATTTGGTCTCTATTCTTAAAGGATATTTTAAGGGGCTGGAGAGATAGTATGGTGGGTGAGGCATGCAGCTGACCCAATTCAGTCCTTAGCACCTTATATGGTCCCTCAGCACTGCCAGGAGTGATTCTCGAGCATAGAGCCTGGGCACCATTGATGTTTTTCTTTATGGCCACAATACCTCCCACCCCCCATGCTATACCAGATGCTCCCTTGCTTCCAAGAAGGAATCAACAAAGCAGAAGCAAGACCTGGGTGAGAGGAAATGGATCCTGCTGGAAGGATGAAAAAGAAAATCTACTACATTTTCTCAATGTTTTGGCAAAACCCCAAATATGTGGTCTTCAGACAAAGAACTGTGATTTTGTATTGTTGGAGCATAGATACAATATTGTATATGCTTGGGGAGTCGCAGCCATCTCCAAGTTGTGTGTGCCTGGACCAGGAAGGAAAACAGATGAAAAATAATGGCTCCATAAAAAAAAAATTAAGGACATGAGGAGGGCTGGTATCTTTCTCAGTGCAAAGTGATTTGGAAAAATTTGTTTGGGTTGATTTCTGTAGAGATTTGTTACTCACAGGAATGCCTAGATTATAAAGCATGAATCTTTGAGCTAAAGATAGCTTCTTATGATAAAGAATAATGAACAGATATGGCAGGGGCGAGGGGAAGAAGAAGAAATGCTTTCCTCAGCACAAGATCTAAGAAGAGCCCCTTCCTGGTGTGTCATTTATGAGGGATACCACCAACGGCTCTTGCATACTGGGAATGAGCTGAAAGTCACACGCTGTAAAATGTGAAAGGGCAGAGCAACACGAAAGACACCCACATTTCTATCCTTTTTTGTTCCAAAGAACTTTCAGGTTAGAAGGTTTAATTCTTTCCTACTAGGTTGAAGGATGGGCTCTCCTCCAGGTCTCAGATCTCTGGATCAGATCATCGGGGGACGGTGTGCCCCCAGAGTACAGTCCCTGAAGTTTAGAATCAAAGGAGCCGCCAGCCAAGGGTTCCACCCCAGGCGTTTGCTGGGCTGTGATCATAACTGAGCCTCCCACCAGAGAAGAGTGAGGAAAACATAGCAGAGAGATCAGAGGTCTCCTTTAGCACTCTCAGAAGATTTTAAAAACCATCGTTAAAGTGTTTACCTTCCACTTATTTTTTAATAACACCTTTCTAGCGGTAATGAACAATTTTGTATGGAAATTGATAAAGACAGAAACATATAAAAAAGGAAACCTAATATTAGTCACCTGTGAAATCTCATCATGTTCATAATAGGTTTCTTTTCTTTTCTACCCAAATGCCCTCAGAAAAAAAACTGAGATGATGTTCTAATCAAAATTATAATGCCTCTTTCTTTTCTTTGATAGCTTCAATATTTCCCAATGTCCTCAAATCTGATTTTACAGGCTGGTTGGTTAATAATGGAACAGATCCTAACTGTAGGTGGTTATTTGACGAAGTCTTTCTTGTTCGTTTAGGTTGATTCCTGACTGTTTTTTTTTTGTTTGTTTGTTTGTTTGTTTCGGCTTTGGGGCCACCTCCGACTGGGCTCAGGTCTTAGTCCTGGCTCCATTTTAAGGAATTTACTCCTGATAATGGGCTGGAGCAATAGCTGAAGCAATAGCACAGCAATAGCACGGCCTTGCACACAGCCGACCCAGGTTCACTTCCTCCATCCCTCTCGGAGAGCCCGGCAAGCTACCGAGAGTATCCCTCTCACACGGCAGAGCCAGACAAGCTCCCCATGGCATATTCAATATGCCAAAAACAATAAAAACAAATCTCACAATGGAGACCTTACTGGTGCCCGTTCGAGCAAATCAATGAACAACGGGAGGACAGTGCTATAGTGGACAGTGCTACTCCTGGTAATGCTCAGGGGCCTATACATGATACCAAGGATTGAATTATGGGCTGATTGAATACGAGACAAATGCCTTCACCCCTAGACTATGTCTCGGCCCCTCCCCCACGTTGTTTTGAAGAGGGAATATTTTAACAATTCTAAGAAGCATCCTTCTCCCATCTCCCCAAGCTATAAATCGCCTAAGAGACCCTTCAGAGCAGCATGCTTAAATCCCAAGGCCCCCCACTGACTCGCAGCCAGCTTTCTGCCTGTTGTCAGAGCAGTCCTGTGCCTCTCAGAAAATAATCCCTTCATAACTAGAGATGTCTGGCTTAAGCTGGATGTACTAGAACACAGGCCCTGGGGGGGCAGTTGTGATATGTGCCTGAACCAGGATGGCTTTTTTTTTTTTTTTTTTTTTTTTTTTTTACAGAGCTACTGTAAAAGCTGTAGAAGCTGGGTCTCAGTTCTGGTTGGTCTCAAACAGTGTCCAGTCAGTAGCTATGGAAATGTCAGCTAGACGTTGCTCTCCACAAGCTTATGGTCAATGTGGTGGGGAAAGCCCTGAAGATGCAGGAGAGGCATTCTAAAAGGGCGAGAGGCATTCAGAATACAGGCGAGGATGAACTAGGGACAAGTCCTTTTAGCTCTGTCTGGAGTAGAAGACAATGAATTGGAGCCATTGAGTTAAGTGCGAGCTCTGTGGAGTCCAACTGTGGGTTCTCTATTCAGGTTCCAGCCATGAGGGCTAGTCAAGAGTAAAATAAAAATGGGGACCCCCTGCGGTTCTCACATTAGAGCTAGAACAACGGTCACATGTGGAAAGTTCTCAGTGTATGGTAACTACTACCACGGAATTGGAACCTAAAAGTTGCAAGGGAAGGGTTTCATATCACTCACTGCTCTTTCCTGTACTGAACACACAGTACCTGCTCCATTAATCTTTTTAAAATGGTACATATGGGGGGAAGCTAAAGAGATAGTACAGGAGATAAGACTGGCAGACCCCAGTTCAAATCCTTAGTGTCACATAGGGTTCCCTGAGTATCACCAGGGTTCCTCCTGAGCAGAGTCAAAAGCTGCCCCAAAACATTATTGCATGTGGTCCCCCCAAAAACAATAGCTAAATAGTTATATATGGGGATTTTCTTGCTCATTTCCTGTAGAAATGAAACAATGGGCTGGAGAGAAAGTACAGGGGTTAAGGCACTTGCATTGCCTGTGGTTGCCCCCCGTTAGATCCCCAGTATTACAACAGATGGTTCCCTGATCACCACTAGGCATGATCCCTGAGCACAGAACCAGAAACAAGACTTAAACACAGCTAGGTAGGGCCCCCAACCAACCAACCAAACAAAAGGAATCTTAAAGTAAAATTTAAAGAAATAACAACAACAACAAAACATCTTGCCAAATTCTTTTTTTTTTTTTTAAGAGATCAGTTTTATTTGGTAATACTAGGTCTGAAATTGGATCTAAAATTTGGGTCTGAAATCTTGTTGAGTTCTGCCTCCAGGCACAGCAAGAAAGAAAAAAAACAGCAGATAAAAAGGGTGAAAAACTGTATAACCAGGAACACAGGAATTTTCTTTTTCTTTCCTGTTAGGAGACGGCTAGCCTGGAATTGAATTCTTTCTTTCTTTTTTTTCTTCCTTCTAGCACCATGCTAATTTCCTTTATCCCTGAACCTACAGGCATGTGTTAATGGGAATCGCAGTTTTGTAGTTAGAGAGGAGATAATATCCATAGACTAAAAATATTGTGTTGTGTGGCCATTTGCCAGCACCTCAGTAAAGCTTTCTGTAAAACCTGGCATTCTCTCCCCTTTTTAAAGGCTTGTTTAATCAAAGCTGCTCCCTTGATATTCATTCTTGGAAAACAGAAATTAAATAGAATGAAAAGCAGCTCCAGCCCCTCTCTGCTCCAGGACTGGCAAAGAAAAGTCCTTAGTAATCAGATCAATTCTGAGTAATCAGATCAATCGCGTTAACAAATGCTCCTCAGACAGGCTCCCTGGCTTTCCCTCTGAGAATATTCCTTCACCATCACCCGAGTTTCTCTATTTGCAGCCCCTGACAGCATGGACATAAAGCATTCGTGTAAGAGTCAGGAGCCCAGCTCCCTGCCCCAGTGCTCGCTTTCAGGGGGCACTGGTGTGAAGAGGAGGGGGGAGGGAAGCAGTCCAGTTTTCGGAAAGGTCAGGCTCTTCTGGGCAGCCACGTGGCCTCCTGCAGCGCCTTCTCTGCAGTTGCAGTCAGAGGCTGATCATGATTCAACCCGTGCTTGTTTGCAATCATTAGCTGCTCTCAGGCCTGCAATGGAATCTGGCAACAGGAATTCAGCTTCCTAAGAACAGAGCCGTTCTAGAAGTTTCCAGGCCACCCCAGCCAAATTTGAGAGAGAGAGAGAGAGAAAGAGAGAGAGAGAGAGAGACAGAGAGAGACAGAGACAGAGAGAGACAGAGACAGAGACAAAAACAGACAGAAAAAGACAGAGAAGGACCCATTCTCAATGCTTGAGTCACAAGGAGTCTATAAATCACAGAGGCTCTTCCCTCCACAGCACACGGCATTATCTCCCAACTGTGCTCTAGCCCCACTCTAAATTCAGTGCCACACTCCTGTGACTATTTTTCAGTTTCAGCTGAATATTTTGCAAAAGCCTCAAATCTGCTCCCCCCAACCCACAACCATCCTCCTAATCCCAACTCAGAGGAGGAGAGTTTCTAGGAGAAAAACATCACCCTACGAGAGAGAGAGAGAGAGAGAGAGAGAGAGAGAGAGAGAGAGAGAGAGAGAGGGAGAAGGAGAGCGAGAGCAAATTAATGCAAACCGTGACTGCTTGTACTGTACTGTGAGGGTGAGCTAAGTGGGCTGTAGGCAGGTATTTGAATGTTTTTAAGAAAAGCCAGGTTTCTACATGCAAATTGCTTTCCTATATCATCCATCCTGACAGCTGATCCCCATGCTCTGTCCACTTTTGTCGATGAGCAGCCTGGGTCCTGCTCTTTGATCCAGGTTTCTCTGATTTGAGGATGATTATAATCCCCATCAAGTCAAGAAGGTAGCTCTTCCAGGCTAGTGTGATCGTACAGTGGGTAGGGTGCTTGCCTTGCATGTGGCCAGCCTGGATTCAATATCTCAAACCCCATATGGTCCCCTGAGTCTGCCAGCAATGATCCCTGAGCACAGAGCCAGGAGTAAGCCCTGAGTACCACCGGGTGTGGCCCCCAAAGCAAAATAAATAAAAAGGAGCTCTTCTGGCACACAGACATCACTGGGTAAGGTGGTCTAGTACTGCCTAGAAACCCCCTCAGCTGCTTGAGCTCTTTTAAACGGAAATGTGGAATGGAAAGCATTTTGCAGTCTTTGGGTGGTGACTTAACCAGCTAGCAGGCAGATGGGGGTGGGGCCACCGAGTGGAGTGAGTGAGGGTTGTGGGTACAGGTGCTGGGGATACCTAAGGAACAGGAAGAGCACTGTCACGGCGCAAAGAAAGGGAGACACCTAGGGCAGAATGAGCAAGAACAGGGTAGAAGCAGATGAGCAGCTGCTGGGTCAGGAGATCTGGGTTCTCACTAGAGGCGCTGGAACAAGCCACCACCTCACTTCCTTCTCAGATCAGCATAAAGGGGCTGCTTGATGCACAGGCGATGCCAGCCCAGATCAGACTCTGTGAGGCACAGGACCCTTACTTCAATCCCGAAAAACCGCAAAGCACCTCCTGCCCAGAACCCTTAGCCAGAAGAAGCAAAGAGAGAGAATTATTTCCCCTGCTGCCCTCCCAGAAACCCTGCCAGTAGCAAGGTTATTGCTCTTTTAATTTAATCCTTTGTCTACCCCGGTGAAGACAAAGCATATTTTACTTTATGCAAGAGTCCTTCCCTAATGGAAAGGCTGGGAGTAAACCCCTGATGGAGGAATTGCTATACTAGATCACTTTGCCTCCAGCTGCGAAACTGATTAACGTCCTTTGGGTCTCAGAGGAGGCTTTGCGGCAGTCACCGGCCATTTGCTAGCAGAGGGGGAAGGGAGGGGTCTCGGAGCACCTCCTTTCAGGAGGTAGAGAAAGGGCAGGAGGAGGGGAACTCAGAGAAGAAATCCCAGGAACGAGAGGAGTGCTCAGTCTTCATGCTCTGAACCCACTGTGGAAGTGTGGACAAGCGCCCCCTGGACCCCTTTGTCACAGAAGGTACACAGGTACACAGGGAGGGGCACTAAAGCCAGCTCTTGTGTCTAACATGGAAGCTGCCACTAGCCTGTGTCCACCCTGCAAGCCAGGAGGTCAGACAGAAAATGCTATAAGTAAGTAGATGCAAGGAGAACAGGATATGAACTGTTACTCCTTTACAACGACTGTAGGTCAAAATGGTGATAGACTGTGTGGAGTGGAACCTTGTTCCGATTCACTAAACTGTCTCATTGTGTTCTTGGATGCGCCTGGTAAACGTTCCCAGTGACAGAGGCACCACTCAAGTCTGTGGGACAGCATTGGTCTAAATAATGTACAATGTACATGTTTATACACATCCATTCTTAGGAAGGGTGGGAGTGAAGCCACATCTAGTGCAACTCAAGGCTTCCTCCTGGCTCTAGGCTTAGGAGTAACCCTGGTGCTGGGAGACCATATGCAGTGCCAGGAACTGAACGGGTACTTCAGCCCCTGTGCTCTTTTCAGCCTCAGGAATTGGCAAAAGAGCCACCATCAGTTCTCATGCAGGGACCAGAACACCCTGGGGGAAACATTCATAAGTCAGTGTTCCATGCCTTTCTCAACAAAAATGCCCAGAGTAGCTGGCAAATCTGTAAGCCCCCTAGGCCCATCCCAGCCCCCCCACAGAAGACCGACTCGAAGGCCACCCAGCACTCAGAGCACCTGGGTCTTCACAGCCAGAACCCTGCCCATCACATCACACCTGGATGCCTGTGATTTTCAAAGTCCCGGCCCTGGTTAAGTTGGGTACATCAGCCACTTTCTCCCTGTACAGAGGGAAGGATGCCATTCAGCCTGACCAAGTACCCAGAATGAGCCAGTGAGGCATTGAGCTCCTCCATACTGTGGTCCCTTTTTCTCGGCTGAGAAAGGTTCCTTCTAGATTCCATTCCACGCTTTTGCAGACTTCACTGCCAGTTCCAGCACCGCTGTTAAAACTTCATTAATGCTTTCCTTGGCAACTTGAAGGAGCCCCTCCCCGAACACGGCTAAACCCAGCCCTAGACTGCCTGCAGTGCCTCTCTGGTGCTCTGGGGCCCTAACGGAGACGCCTATGGCATCGGTGCCTTCTGGGTCCTGCCCATCCTCTGAAGGAGCATGTAGGGACTGTTTGTTGTTGCTGTTGTTGTTTTAACTTTTAATTTTTGTTTGCTTTGAGCCACGCCTGAGGGTGCTCACGGGCTACTCCTGGCTCTGTACTCAGGGCCCTCCTGCATGCAAAGCAGCCTGCTGAGGCTGGGAAACTCTCTCAGGAACCTGGGGGTGCTTTTAAAGGGCCCGTGACCTTGTTCACTCTCATCTGTATTAGATGTGGAGGGGCCTCTCTCCCTTGTGAGCATGCAATCTCTCTCACACACACACTCTCTGGGCTGGAACTTAGGGGTAACATCTCAGAAGTATAGCAGCTGTCTTGTAACCATGAGGTGAATAAAAAGAGGACCATCATCAGACTCTGGATAAAAGAACAAAATGAAAGACAGAGCCAAAATGTCTCGTGGCAGCGTCTGCCCTGGACTCCCATCTGGACTTCTGGACTTTTAAGAGCAAAAAAAAGCTTCCACACTGGTGCCACCCAAATTAACTTTTCTGTTATTTCCAGACAACACCAGCCTAACTAATATAAGAATGTTCTTGGTACAGAGTCTGGAACCCATTAAGTGTTTGCATATTCATTGACTTCATGCAAATACCAAATATATCTTGAATGAATGGGTAAATGAAAGAATTAGGGGAGGGGGGAGATTTTTTTTTCTCTAGCAGCCATAACCAGTGGTGCTGGAGGGGGTGTTGGGCATACAGTGCCAAGGACTGAGTACAGTACCTTGCACATTGGAGTCGAGACTTGAAACACACTCCTGCCTCCTTCTATAATTGGCTTTCCAGAAAACTCACTCAGTGATGCTCAGGGTTGGGTGGTGCCTGGTGACAAACTTAAGATTTCACACATGCTGGCCATGTGTTTGAACTGTCTAGCAACTAAACCAGCTCCTGGGCCCTGAGAAATGGATTTTGATATGTGTGTTTGGGAGGTGAAGCAGGGGTGGGGTTGGATGTCATACTGTACTCATGGCTTACACCTGGCTCAGTGCTCGGCCATCACTCCTAATGGTGCTCGGGGGGGGGGGGCATCTGTGACTCTGGGAATTGAACCTAGAGTTGTCTGCAACGCAAGGGCCCTGCCCACTGTACTATCTCTCTCCCACTGTATTATCTCTCTGCCCGACTTCTATCTTTTTAAAAACTTGGCCTCAGGCAGCTTGACTTCATCTATTTTTTGGTGGGGTAGGGGTGTGCCTTCTCAATTCTATGGGGCTCAGGAGACTATAGGGGTGCTAAGGATTGGACCCGCGTTCAAGCAAGCACCCTACATGCTGTATTATCACTGTGGCCCCCAACTTCATCTCTTGAAAAGAATGTGTTGATGCCTCCCTTTAAGGTACACATTTTGTGTTTACTTAAAAACAGTGAGAGGGATTGGGAACAGAGCTCATAGACTGGAGTGCATACCTCATATGCAGAAGCCCCTAGGTTCGATTCCTAGTACTGCACAGGTTCCGTGTACCATCAGGTTAGCCACTGTTATGCCCCAGCACTGCTGGGCCCAAGCACCACCTCATTGCTGGGCCTCAGCATTGAAGCGTTTGGCTGGGAGTCACTGGGAGTGGCCTTGGGGTCCTTGAGCATTGCTTGGGAGTTCCCCAAACAAATGATAATGTTGGAGTTTTTGCAACTTTAACTTTATTAAATTATTTTTTTAATTTTTATTAGTGAGACACCATGCAACTTTAACTTTAAACATACTGAGCAATTTCTAATAAACCAAGGACTCTGTCAAGTGGCTTGATGTGCATTATCTGATACAATCCTCCTACTTTAGAAGCAACTGTTATTTCTCCATAGTGAAGATCAAAAAAAAAAAAAGAAAGAAAGAAAGAAAAGAAAAGAAATCTCGGAGAGGTTAAGAACCTGTCTGAGATCACACCAAAATCCAACCTCAGTCATGTCTTCAGAGCCTGTCACCCATTTCAGCCACCCTGGGTCCCCTGCTTTGGCTTGGAGAGTATATTCCTCCCAGGCACCTGCCCTCACATTCCCGGGAGGCTCCTTTGACCACTGGGCAGTCCTGTCCTCAGCTTCACAAGGAGACTTACACTGAGAGGTATGTTTCGGCTCGTGTCTTCCGGATCAAAGGCCTCAAGCTGGTAAATGAACCCAGGACTGGTGCCTTCCGTTATGTAGAGGTTTAGACCTACACCAGCAACGAGGTGGGATAAGAAAGATACTGTTAGACAAAAGCATGAAGGGCATTTCCAAACCAGGGCAGAAGCCCCCAGCCATAAAGAACAAGGCATGTTGGCCTTGGAGGCTGGAGGCAGCAATGATGGAGACCATGGGAAGACATATGGTCACTGCACACAGGTAGGTTGATAGGAATCTTTCAGCACTAGGATTGGTCAATAGGTAACAAGTTTCCACTGGGTCCTTCCCTTGAGAAGTGACTAGTGTTTCTCAAACTTTTTCTGACCTTGCCCCCCACCCCTTGCCTTACCAGTTGGTCCCCTAGCCTCATGTCATGATTCTCTATTTATGTGATTTTTTACCTGTAGCACCCCCTGCCTTGGAGAATCATGGGAGGGTATGGAGAGGGGAAGGTGGGGAAAATGTATGGACCCCAATTGAGAAACACTAATCTAAGTTATTGTCAATGGTAGGGCTAAGGGACATGTTGAGAACAGAGAGTTGGGAAGCAACCTGGGGTAGAAATTTCTCCAAGTACCAGACCCACTTGAATATTCAGATTTTTCTCTCAAACTACATAAGACAGACTTCCAAAGAACACTCAGCCCCCAGCAGAGATGAACCACTGAAATGAAAGGCCTACAGGCAGAACAGAGGAAGCAGGGAGGAGCATAAAGCATGGTGGGCTCTCCTGGAAACCCATCCCCAGCCTGACCTCACGCAAGAGCATCTGTCAAGGCCCCTGATTCACATAAGACATGTCTTTCTCTAAAGAAATGGAATTAGGAGCTGTGTTAGGAAAGGGGGTGAAGATGAATGCTATAGTTCTCATGACAAATCACTGTATTACAGATGCATGCTGGACATTCAAGTAGAGATATTTGTTCATACAGTTACTTATTCAGAGAGAACTTGGACTGAACCTATAGACCTTGGGGGTGTCAGTACATCCAGTTCCCTAGTGGCGCTCTGTTGGCCATGAAACCCCTGTCCCAGGGGCGACTTTCTACACAGTCTCGGGATCTCATCAGTGTTCTGCCTTCTCAGCTTCTGGAAGCTCCCCATGCAGTGTTTGCCCAACCCTGAGATCTCCTCACCAGGTGTTTCCACCTCCATGGGAAAAGAACACATGACTAGTTGACACAAGGATGGAATCCATGTCACAGGCTTGGGCCCAGTAGTACAGAAGTAAGCATTCACAGGGAGAATGAATAAATTCAGTAATGACCAGCACACTCAGATGGGCCTAGAGTGGGTTTGACCCGTCTTTCTTGAGAATTCCAACCTCCAATTCCTCCTGACACCTGGGGGAGGTGCCCAGAGAAACTGCACCAGTGAAGGACTTTGTCCATTTTTGGGATGTTGTGATGGGCTGAAGGTGTTTGCTTTCCTCTTGCTCATTAAGCAGCTGCCTTTCCCGGGGAAACAGATGCTCGTTTATTTACTTTGCTGTGTTGCTCTGTCCCGGGGGTCCTCCCTGGTCCCACCGTCTGGACTACATTGCACACCCCAGTGAGCTTACCTTTTGCCAAGTTACCCAGAAACCACGGTGGTTCGTTGACGTCGGTCACTTGGACGGTCAAGACCTGTAGGTCAGTCACCTGCACGTCATCTTTCACATAAATCTGCAAATCAAATATGTTTGGTCCTGTTTCAAAATCCAGTTGTTCCTTCCCAGTGGTGACAACCTAAAAACAAAGGCGAAATTCTTAGCAGTCATGAAAAGGAGCCTCTGTTTAGCATGCACGCATTTTGCAAAGGGATTTTTCTAGGAAGGAAGCAGCCAGCCTCCTGGAAACCATCCGCCACTCAGTGTCAGAGGGACCTGTTGTTTGCCTTAGTCCCTCCAACATGAGCCCCACAACACCTCACCACAGGGACTCTCGCATTTGCTGCTTTTAGGAAAGAAGGAAATATTCACAAGATGGTCTGGCTCTACTGACTAGAGCTGAACAGCCTAATAATGGAAAGAAACCTATCACCCAGGGCTAAGGAAATAGCTAAAAAGAGTGGAGAGGCTGGAGCAATAGTACAGTGGGTAGGGCATTTGCCTTGCACGCAGCCGACACGGGTTCGATTCCCAGCATCCCACATGGTCCCCCGAGCATCACCAGGAGTAATTCCTGAGTGAAAAGCCAAGAGTAGCCCCCTGAGCATCGCCGGGGCCGGGTATGACCCAAAAAAGCCAAAAAAAAAAAAAAAGAGTGGAGTCCCTTTCTTGATGTAAGTGGCCCAGGTCAATCATGACTCCAGGGCACTGGGTACAGCTCTGTGTGTCCTCCTACCCCCCGTCCGGAGCAACACCCCACTGCTGGGCCTGAGTGCCAAGCCATCTGGCTGAGTGCTGCCAGGATCTTGAGTGTTGCTGAGGAGAGCTTATTTAAAAAACAGAGCTTCAAAGTAGATAAAGTGTGGCTGCAGTGGTCAGGACCCTGGCTCAAATCCTCAGCAACACATACAGTCTCCTGAGCATCTCTAGGTGTCACTCTGAGCACATAGCCAAGAACAGGCTCTCAGCAACAGTGGGAGTGACCAAAAACCCCTCCTCCACCACGAAAAGTGCACCAAATTTACCAGGCCAGAGAGACAGCTCATGTGATAGCGCATGAGTGAAACCCTGAATTCACTCCTTGTCACTGCAGGGCACCCCTTGCACAGCCGAGAATAGTCCTGGTAGCCTCCTAGGAATCCAGGCCTGTGCACCCCTGGGGCCAGATTCTAAAAACCAAACCAAAGCACACTACACCAAGCCAAAGAAACTTTGGCATAAGCCCTACCCAAGTCCGTCAGCTCCCATGAACAGACTTGGATGTTCCCATCCTAGGAATGAGATGCTGGTAAGTTAAAACCTGACTCATCATTCCGTTCTAATTTTCCTAAGGCCAACTCGGAGAACAAATGAGAAGTTTATGTCTGTATAAATAAGGAATGATACTTACAACAGCCTGTTCTGGTGTGTGTGTGTGTGTGTGTTTGTGTGTGTGTGTTTGTGTGTGTGTGTGTGTGTGTGTGCATGCCTTTCCACACATTTTTTCTCCACTGTCAGAAACTTGTCATCTGCACTACAGGGAGCTGGGTGATGGAGTAAAAACCAAGGTCAGATGGCAACACCTTGGACCAGGCTCTAGAACTTAGACATTGGCCAGAGGGAGGGAATCTCAGTGAGGACTTGGGAGAGGCTGGCTGGAGGTCACAGACATCCCATACAGCTTGCCACCATCAGCCTATTATATAGAGTCTTCACAAGACCCAGAGCTCCTTGTGACTTTAAGGACTAAATTTTATGAATGTTCTCAGCTGGGTTAAGAGAATCTCTGGTTATTAATCAAACTGGGACCAGACAGGCATACTTAATGCTGAGGTGAATGCTCCAAGTCTATTTCCATTACTGAATTTCTCTGTGACCGGGAAAAGCTCTTTTATTTCTTCCTGATTTTATTTCCACAGATATTAAAGCAAGTAGATAATTCATGCCCTAGTTATGCTGAAATATAATGCAAGGTATTAGAATAAAGATCTAGATCTGGGCTTCTTAAATATTTTCTACTAGTGACCACTTTTTACCTGAGAAATTTTTATGCAACCCTAGGTATCTAGCCTTTTTATAAAATAGGTATATAAATCAAGTCTTGACTTATAATAAATCATAATGAAATTTATTTCACACAACCTTCACATTCAGTCATATGACCCCTGCCATAACCCAGGGTTTAAGATGCTAGAGTTGTTGAAGAGGTAGTAAATAAGTCAAGGCACTTTCTCAGGACTTAGTTCTGGCTCTGTGTTCAGAGATCACTCCTGGCAGGATTCAGGAGATGTATGTGGTTCTGGAACTGAACCCAGGTAAATTGCATGTAAAGCAGTGCCTTACTCACTATAATACTGTCTAGGTTCTTTGATGTTCTTGGAAAAGCTATGGAGTCCACAGTGGTCAGACATGCAAACAAGAAAAGTGGGAATCAAAAAGTGGGGAACAGGGGGGCTGGAGAGATAGCACAGCGGGTAGGGCATTTGCCTTGCACACAGCCGACCTGGGTTCGATTCCCAGCATCCCATATGGTCCCCTGAGCACCGCCGGGGGTAAGTCCTGAGTGCAGAGCCAGGAGTAAGCCCCATGTATCGCTGGGTGTGACCCAAAAAGCCAAAAAAAAAGTGGGGAACCGGAAAGAGTGACGCCCCCATGACCTGCCCTACTAATAAGGTACCCCCCATTCCTCAGCCCTGGCCTTCTTGATGACCAGGGTTCCCCATGGTCAGACCCCACTGGTGGGGCTCTGACCACTCTCTTAGGGAAAATAGTGGGGCAGCCCAGCAGGGTTAGGTGATGGTGTTAGAAGCAAGGATTTTGGGGACCATATGTATATATGCCTGATCTCAAATATCAAGTCTGATGCCAATTCACTGGGCAAGTTGTTCAATTTCTTTATGCCTCAGTTTTCCCATATTTAACCTGAAAATGTTAATATACCCCTTAACATTTTTTGCTAGGAGGAGCTCATCTTAAGGAATAAGATGCTGCACTTTTAGGGCACATTGCTAAGTTTCACATTCACTCATTCTGTTAAAACATCATTACATTCTTAGGCAACCAATATTGATTAAGAAAATATAAACACACAAGGCTTAACCTGTAACAGCATTTTAGTAATCTCTTCTACAAGGGCTTAATGGCTCTATCACAAATCACAAATCACAAATCATCCTGTTAATCGTCGATTGCCTCGAGCAGGCCCCAGTAACGTCTCCTTCATCCTAGCCCTGAGATTATATTCAAGGCTCTTTAGGAGAATGAGACCCATCATTGTTACTGGTATTTGGCATATTGGGTACGCCACGGGGAGTTTGCCAGACTCTGCCATGTGGGCAGGCTACATTTGGTAGCCTGCCAGTTTGTCCAAAGTAGGAATGAGATAATAAGATGTCATAATAGGATGTCGCGCGGCCGCGAATGCGGCCACGCGGTTCCAGGAGCTGGTTTTTATAGTCTCTGAGTCTTGGCCGTTGATGGGATTACATGGCGCCAGGGGGCCAGTTGGTGGGTGTGACCCCCGCCTACTGGAATTTGGAGGATGTGGGTGGAGGATGCTCGGCCCAAATCCGAATAGGCTTGGAGATCTCGGCCCCGGAACCCGCGTGACTTTGTCCCTCTGCCTCTGGCTCTATGGTGGGATACAATATTCACACACTTTCTTCTAAGGAAATATTTTTTGATCATTTTTAGCAAATTATAACATGCAATATAAAGCAAATTACAGCAGGGCCTGCTATAGGGGCAAGTGTTATGGTGTTTCAGAAAATTGGAAATAATGGTCGTGGAAATGTGCAGTGGTGGTGGAATTAGTGTTGGAATATTGAATGTAATAAATCATGAACAACTTTTTGAAAATAAATAGCACAGCGGTAGGGTGTTTGCCTTACAAGCGGCCAACATGGCCGACCCGAGTTCGATTCCTCCGCCCCTCTCGGAGAGCCCGGCAAGCTACCGAGATTATTCGATATGCCAGACACAGTAACAACAAAGTCTCCAATGGAGACGTTACTGGGCCTGCTCGAGCAAATCGACGATCAACGGGAGGGCCTTTACCTTTACCTTTACCTTTAAAACATTATTTTGTTCTAAATTTCCCATGGGGCTGGAGTGATAGCACAGTGGGTAGGGCATTTGCCTTGCACACAGCCGACCCAGGTTTGATTCCTCCGCCCCTCTCGGAGAGCCCGGCAAGCTACAGAGAGTATATTGCCCGCACAGCAAAGCCTGGAAAGCTCCCTGTGATGTATTGGATATGCCAAAAACAGTAACAACAAGTCTCACAATTTGTTGTGAGATGTTACTGGTGTCCACTCGAGCAAAATCGATGAACAACGGGAGGACAGTGCGACAGTGCAAAATTTCCCACGGGCACTTCCTAGGCAAAAGTAAGAAGAGACATCTGTGTGGAGAAGAAATGATATCTACATACAGCAGCAGCTTGGATTTTGTTTGGTTTTTCCTTTCCACACATTCTTCTATTGTCAGAAATTGTCCTCTGTACTCTCCAAGTGCCTCAGAGAAACAGGAGGAATGCAGGGAACAAGGGGCCTGGTTTCGTTTACTTGACCTGGTGCTGGAGAGATGACTCAAAGTGGCAGGAAACACACACCTCGTATGTGTGGGTCCTAAGTTTTATTCCCAGCACTGCATGGGCCCTGAGAACTGCTAAAAAATAATTGTTTTTACTGAGAACTCTCATTTATACCATAAATATTTAGTTCATAAAATATTTAGGGGGCTTCTCAGCATGTGGTAAATGCTCCATAAATGTGAATAGTTATTATCATCCTCTTCACTATTAATCATCCTCTTCCCTGCACATGCTTTGCATGTGGGAGACCTGGGTTCAACCCCTGGCACCATGTGGTTCTATGAGGACTAAGGGAGCAAGTCCAGCCCTGAGCACTGCTGGCTGTGACCCCAAAATCAAAAAGTCAAATCAAGTCATAGTAAAATGACCTGCTAATTGACAATACAATTATTTTTAACGTCAACGCATGAAAAGTAAATAACACAAAAAATACTTAAAAATTTTTTTTCACTGAATCACCATAAGATACAGTTACAAAGCCTTCCTGATTGAGTACCAGTACAATGATCGAACACCCATCCCTCTACCAGTGCACCTTTCCCACCACTAATGTCCCCAGTATCTCTCTTGCCTCACCCACTCCACCCCACCCCCTGTCTCTATGGCAGGCAGTTTCCTTCTTATTCTCTCTTTACTCACACAAAATATTTTTTTACCCTCTTCCTTTTGCCCTACTCTCAGAGATGTCCATGGCTGTGTCTGCAGAAACAGGGAGACCTCCCAAGGCCCATAAAGACAAGAGGACCTGTCCCCACCACTGGAACCTGCCATCCCACAGACTATCTGGATTGCTTAAAGGCTAGTGAGGCCTGGCCCCAGAGAAGGCACCATGAGATTCAGTAGGCTTTTGTGAACAATTTGGGCTGGAGAGTAAGATCTCCTTGGAGCACATGGTGGATGATTTGAGTCATTTCTGGGGGAAAGCAACTGATAATTAAAAACAGCCTCAGAACTTGAGAACCTGCACCCCATCCTGTGCCATCAAGGGTCCTGGGAAGCCAAGGACTGTAATGCCAGCAGCATCCTAGGTCCTAGGACAACATCCTGAATGGTTTGGGTTGAGAGCTACTGAAGGGCTAAGAAATGCACTGTTTCCTGAGGTTAGAACCTGTACAGGCTGCTTCCCTAATGGACAACACTGAGTGATTCTCACAGAGCACGAGCAGAGAGAAAGTCTGGAGGGGCATTACCCTGGAAGTACATATGCATGTAAGACAAAGAGCTCGAGTCCCGAATCAGAAGATCTGAGTTAAATCCTTATTTCACCCTTCAGTGCTTTGCCACCTGGGGCACATCAATCTACCTTGCTGCATCTTTGTCATCTTCCTGAATGGTGATGATGGTAGTGTAGCAATCTAGGGATCAAGGTGTGAATGTGCTTTGGAATCCGCACTTTAGAAGCAGCAGGATTGTTGTCATCACCCGAGGTAGATGCCCAGGGAGACCAAGAATAAGTATTCTCTAATGGAAGCAACACAGATGTTTCAGCAGATGTGGAGACAAACTGGAGATAGATGGAGAGCCATTAGGGAGAGGTTCGCAGACACAAATGTATGTGTGTGTGTGTGTGTGTGTGTGTGTGTGTTGGGAGGTGGGGTACACATACTAAACCACCTTCCCTGTGGATGACCCTGGGAACATCATGCTTCTGTGAAAGCAGTGGGCCATTAAAGACCATCCATAACCCCACTCCATCAGGCTGGGACGTGCCCAACACAGCTAGGTCCATTTAAGACAAAAAAGTGTGTCCTGGTTTCCAGAGACTGGTGCTGGGCATAGGAGATGGGGATAAGGGACAGAGAGACAGAGGGACAGAAGGACAGAGGAATGGCTGCTAGTGGATAAAGGGTTTCTTTTCGGGATGATGAAATGACCTAATAATTTGGTTGTGGTCATGGTGTGTGAATAAACTGAATCGTAGTCTTTCAAAGGGCAAATTGAATGCTATGTGAATTCAATCTCAATAAAACTTCTTAAAATAAATATGGGGCCAGAACAATAGTACAGCAGGTAGGTTGCTTGCCTTGCACATGGCCGGCCCAGGTTTGATCCTCAGCATCCCATATGGTCCCCTGAGCACAGACAGGAGTATTTCTTGAGTGCAGAGCCAGGAGGAACCCCTGGGCACCGCTGGGTATGACCCCAGAAAATTAATTAATTAATTAAAACTTTTTACAAATAAAACTGGAGATATAGTGTGGGGTGGGGCATTTGCCTTGTATGCAGTAGACCTGGCTCAAATCTCTGGTACCGCATATAGTCCCTTGAAAACTGCTAGGAGTCACCCCCTGAGCACAGCTCCAGGAGAACCACCGGGTGTAGCCCAACCCTCTAACAACAACAACAACAACAACAATAATAATGAGATCTCTAGGGATAGACCTTTAGTTACCCTTTAGTTACTAGGTTGGTGGTGCGACCCAGGGTAAATGATGTAACATCCTGATGAATTTTGTTCCCCCCCCCATCTGTAAAAAGGGTGACAAGGTCCCAAAATCACCGGATGGTTTTCAAGATCCTCAGAGTCAGCACATAAAGCACTTGAGATGGTTCAGCATGTACTTTGTGCTCTGCAGGAGCAAGCAATCACTAAGGCTGACAGGAGAAAAAGCAACTGTGAAGTGTGAAAATCCCCACTCTAGGGTTGTGAAAACCCTTCTCTTGTGGGGATTACACATTTTTAAAAAAATTTCATTGAATCACTGTGAGATAGTTACAAGCTTTCATGTTTGAGTTACAATCACACAATGATCAAATACCCATCCCTCCACCAGTGCACATTCCCCACCACCAATATCCTCAGTACACACCCCTCCCTTTCCCACCCTCCCCCTGCCTCCATGGCAGGCAATATTCCCCAAACTCTCTCTCTACTTTGGGGCATTATGGTTTGCAATACAGACACTGAGAGGTTATCATGTTTGGTCCTTAATCTACTTTCAGCACTCATCTCCCATCCTGACCGGTTCCTCAAGCCATCATTTTCTTAGTGATCCCTTCTCTATTCCAGCTGCCTTCTCCCCTTTGCTCATGAGGCAGGCTTCCAGCTATGGAGCAATATTCCTGTCCTGTGTATCTACTATCCTTTAGGTGTTAGCCTCATGTTATGTTGTTTTATACTCCACAAATGAGTACAGTCCTTCATATGACCCTGCAATACCACTTCTAGGAATATATCACGAGGATGCAAAAAAGCACAGTAGAAATGACATCTGTACCTATATGTTCATTGCAGCACTGTTAATAATAGCGAAAATCTGGAAACAACCCAAGTGCCCTTCAACAGATGTCTGGTTAAAGAAACTTTGGTACATCTACACAATGGAATACTATGCAGCTATTAGGAGAGATGAAGTCGTGAACTTTGCTTATAAATGGATAGACATGGAGAGTATCATGCTAAGTTAAATGAGTCAGAAAGAGAGGGATTACACATTAAAGGATGTTCAAGGGCTCTCCAGGTGGCTCTCTCTCTTGCTGCCTGCGTTCAGTGCTCTCAAGCCACTTCTCCACCTGGGACGGCTGTTGTCATGGATGGATGAATGAAGAACGAGGTCCAAGCTGGTTGTTGATTAGTTGCCATTTATTCAATCTCTCATCTCTCACAGCTCTCTCCAATCCCTCCTCTCTCTGCTGTCTCTCCCTCTCTTCTCTCCTTCTTTTTCAATCCCCCCTTTCTCTTTCAGTCCTCCTTTTCTCCTCACAGCCACTCTTATTACCACGCCTCCCCAACCACATCTCCCCATGGGAAGCGTGGTCAACATGTTTTTTCCAGACTTCCCAATCACCTACAGCCCACAGGCCAAACAGCCCTTAAGGTGTGTTTCTCCTCTCCTTAGGCCTGCAACTTAATTAACATCTTTAATTCTACTTCCTAATATTTACCATTCTGTATGGACACAGTAATAGACACTTTTAGGCTTATAGGGTGACTCTTCTGGGGACATCTCACCACAGACTCAGACTACTGTGCTCAGGCCAGACCAATCATTCCTAACCCCAGCAGTGTTCAAGTCTAGTTATTACTTTTGGATCATGACAGAATTTTTCCATGACCAAGCTCTTAACTTATAGTTAAGCATTAGGGCACTTTGGCCAGGCCCATTTTGATGCCAAGTTTATCTAGCTCACCACTTGCCCTGGGTTCATCCAGTTCCTCATCGGGACCCTGCTTTGGAGGATCTAAGAAGTAAGGGCAACTGAGGCTTAAGTAAAGAAAGCAGATCTCTAGGAGGTAATATTACCTGGAGTCAATCAACTCCCAAGCCACAGTTTGTCTTTTAATTGTCTACCTGTATCCATACAAAAAGCAATTGCTCTGAAATAGCTAACCATGCAAAGGACAGAAAGAAGAGAAAAACAAAATTTACAAGTCAGAGTCTGATCAGGAGGCAAAGGTAATTGACAGATTGGGAGGCAATCAACAAACATAAGCTCCTAGGGGCTAGAGAGATAGGACAGTGGGTAGGGCGTTTGCCTTGCACATTGCCAACGCGGGTTTGATTCCCAGCATCCCATATGGTGCCCCAAGCACCGCCAGGAGTAATTCCTGAGTGCAGAGCCAGGAGTAACCCCTGTGCAACGCTGAGAGTGACCCAAAAAGCAAAAGAAAAAAAGAGAAAAGAAAACAGACACAAGCCAGAGAGGAAGGGCAAACCAACGTTATCCTACAACGAAGGATCACCCAGACCCAAGAGAGAAAGCAGGTGGGCAACTAAGACATCTGGGGTAGAAATGCACACTGAATGGCAAGGTGAGCCTGAGAGGGTTTTCCTTATGAAGGGCAGCTCCTGAGTGCTGAGACACAGGCCCCAAGTTCCAGCGCTAGCTTGTGGCTTCCCCAGATCAATCTTTCCAAGCCCTTCTAGTGACTTGTGAAGGACTAGGATTTAGAACACCTCAGGTGCAGTTCAAGGAAACAGCCGAGCCCAGGCTACGTAGGCTGGACCTATGGGGGTCCCTGCAGCACCCCCCCATCCATGGCAGGCAGGAGTCTAATGGTAAGAGCAGGCAATTCCCAGGCTCATGAGGAAGGGTTCAGGATACTAAGCGGTCCAGAACCCTAAAAACACTGAAAGAAGCCTCTAGCATTAAGACTCTATGGATTTTTTTTTTTAATCTCCAAATCAAGGCAAAGCAGAATCACACACAAGTTCACCAGATCCTGGCTTCTCAGGATGTCTCTACACAAATCATCCCACTTTCCAACCTATGAGCAACCATTCTATACATCTTACTAACCCATTGGTCGACCTCACAGACCCAGCCATGCCTCTGAAACAAACTCTGCACAACCTTCAGGTGGGATGGACAAAGTTGAAAGAGGAACTCCTAAAGTAACAGGGGCATTAGGCCTAGAGTGCTGCAGAAAGCCCTGAACAGGATTTCTGAAACTGCCAGAGGGCAGCTGATTCCAGGGGAAGAGAAGGAAAAGACCCTGGTTCTGGAATCTGGAATCTGGTGTGCCAACAACACCCTGGGGAGTAAGACAAAGCTTACCTCAAAGTTGGTTCCGGACAGTGCATTCACCTTGAAGGCCTCGGTCAGGGGGCTGGAGTTGATTATCATAGGAAACCTCGGCATGACAGGTGACCGGGAGACAGACAAATTCACAGCAAACTGATGCACCAAAGTCCCGGAGGGTGAGTTTTCTGCTATGCTGGCAGTGGCAGGTAAGTGAAGGAAGTGCAGGGCCTCTCCCTCTGTGGGGGTCGAAAGGATGTAAAAAGCCATGAACACAAAGCTGGAAAATAACAACTTCCCCTGTGGCTTCGACACAGTGCTCAGGGCAATACCGGAACCTGGTCACTGGTCTGACAAGCAGGAAATGGAGAAAAGCAGCTGCATGCAAGTTAACTAGGACCCAGGAGGTGAGCCTGGAACAGATTACACTGGAGAGCTTCTAGAAGGACCTAGAAGGCCTCTAGGCCTGGCCTATGTCTAGATGTCAGACCTCTGGTCTCCTAAACTGAGAGAAACAAACAAAGAAATTTTTTTTATTGGGGGAGCAACACTCAGTGATCTTCAGGGGTTACTTCTGGCTCTGTGCTCAGGAATTGCTCCTAGCAGTGCTCGGGGGAACCATATGGAATGGTGGGGATCAAACCTGGGTCAGCCATCTGTCAGGCAAGTACCTTACCCACTTTACTATCTCACCAGCCCTATATGAATTGTTTTAAGCCTTTGAAACTTTGGTTAAGCAGCCCTAGAAATGACTCCATTCACCATTTATGCTATGTTCCACATGAGGGCACAATATCAAATCCTTTCTTTCTTTCCTTTTTTTTTTTAACCGTCTCTTAGATGGATATGAATATCATCACTGCGCAGATGAAGTCAAACTGAAAGACACTCAGTGATTCAAAAATAAAGGGTCTTATCTCCCTGTGCTTCCGGGCTCCTGGTGTCATGCTTACAAACTGCCTCTGGGCGCCATATAAGTGTATTAAGTGTATTAACAGCCATGACCCAAAGACTCACAAATAAACCTCGAAAGAGCGCAACATGCTGCAGAGATGCCTCTGGATCCCAAAATCACCATCCAAGTTAAAAGTTTAACTCCAGGGACTGGAGTGATAGCACAGCGGGTAGGGCGTTTGCCTTGCACGCGGCTGACCCGGGTTCAATTCCCAGCAACCCATATGGTCCCCTGGGCACCACCAGGGGTAATTCCTGAGTGCATGAGCCAGAAGTAACCTCTGTGCATTGCTGGCTGTGACCCAAAAAGCAAAAAAAAAAAAAAAATTTTTTTAACTCCAGCTCTAGCATCCTATTTAAAAATTTAGAATTCCTGGAGCTACATATCATGCTTTATAGCATTGATATACCAAGAGTAGCACACCACATTTGGTGGGGTGTAAGGTAGAAGGCAATTAATCTTAATAATAATTATATATATATTAGCACACAAGGCTCAACCTCTAACAACATGTTAGTAATCTCTTATACAGTAGCTTAATGGCTCCAAGGTGAGATACAACAATTTTCACACACTTTCCTCTAAGGAAATTTTTTTGGATCATTTTTAGTTGATTTTTCATAGCAAGCAATACAAAAGAAATTATTTAGCATCTGCCTTTGGGGCAGGCTTAGGTGGTGGTGGTAAAATTCAAAGTAATGGTGGTGGGAAGGTGTAATGGTGGTGGGATTGGTGTTGAAATATTGAATGCAATCAATTATTGTGAACAACTTTATGAAAATGAAGTTTAAAAAATTTTAAATGAAAAATCACCATCACTGTCACTGTCATCCTGTTGTTCATCAATTTGCTCAAGAAGACAGCAGTAACTCCAAGACTCCATTCATCCCTTTTTCATTTTTTCCCCCTTTTTCATTTTTAAATGGAAAAATATTTTTTAAAAAAGAGCTTGAATCTACACTAAATCCAGCCTTCCCTCTGGGCAATCAGTAGTCATCAGGGATAAATTCCCCCAGATGGGTAGAAGGTAAGTGTGGTGGAGACCAATAGAAGGATCCTGAAAAGTGTAACATTTCTAGAAATAAAAAGTTATGCATAAACATTGGCTTTTAAAAGTGAAAATTCTTTATTTCGCCTTGAAGGGAGGGAGAGGATGCTGAGAAGCAAAGGGAAATGTAGGGAAAATTGAAATATAAGCACATTCATTGAGGCAAGCTTTCATACATCTAAAACTGTCTTACTTAGAGACTAAAATGCATTATGCAAAAGTTATTTTTGCTCATGGAATTATCCCGTTTTATGGACAAGGACTGTGCAAGGACTTGGATATATCAAAACAGCTGAGATTTTAGGGTGATGTGAATAGGAATGGTTTTTTTTTAATCTCTCAAAACTGACTTTAATATTACAGCCTCTTGTGATAAAAGCCAGAAGCAAAATGGTACAGTTGGAGTATGTTGGAGAGAGGGGGTGGGAATCCCCAAATAGTTAATCAAAATGAGCCAAATAATCCGTTGCTTTGGGAAGAGGATGTGCTTCTCAGTCCTTGTTCTCTCCCGCCCTTTTGTTCACACAACCAGAGGTCATTGGGACCCAGTTCTCTCTGTCCTGCTGGAAAAGGACAATCATAAGCAATGATGTGTGGTAGCTAATTAGTCTCAAGGAATTGGCACGCCAAGTACCTTCTCCTTCCCCTCTCATCCACCCGTGCCCTGTCCCCTCCAAGCCAAGGAGGAAAAGAAGCCTCTAGAAGCTTGAATAACTAGGCCTGTCTCAAACATGGATGGATAGATAGTGCCAGCCCAGATGGTGAGACTAGCACAAGTGAGCCCTGGCATTTGCTCTACCCGCTCCCCAGCCTCTGGGCTCACGGTTCTGCTGCGGAATCCAAACAAGCCGCCATGCTGCCACTGCAGTGGTCAGGACACGTGGGTGGGCCCCTGCACCCTGTTCCACATCTGTCCTGCAGGCCACACAGTGCAGACTGGCTGCTTCTCTCCTGGCCATTCCCTCGATGTCTGTGGGTGACTCTGTGGTGGTGATCTCTGACCCGTGACCATGTGGTAAGATGGACTGGGGCTTCTATTAGACATCCCCCCTCCCCAGCACCAAGCCAGATGTTAGACTTAGAAGAGGAGCTGTGTAAAAAGCAGTGTGTTCTTCACTCAACGTGGGCTGGTGGATGAGGCTCTCCCCTGCCTTGCCCTGTATGGCCAGCTTAGGGCGGATAAAATGCTCACTGAGAATCCTTTGGAGAACTGGGGAGTCTAGCAAAGTCACATGCCCCCAATACCCCCAACTGACAGTACTTCCTGGTCTGCTCTGCTAGAGTGTCATCAAGCTCACTTTGACAAGGCCTGGGTTTTTGGTTTGGTTTTGTCTTGGGGGCACATCCAGCAGGGCTCAGGGCTGACTCCAGGCCCTGCACTGAGGGCAGTACTCAGGGGTCTAAAATCAAGGTCGGCCATGTGCAAGGCAAGCGCCCTCGCTACTGTACTATCACTCCAGCCCCCTGAGAAGTCGTAGTTTTGAAGATTCTTTTAAGATGACACCCTCAGTGGTGCTCCAGGATCACACTCACACCACGCATGCTCAGGAAGGCCCTGGATGCCGAGGAGCAAACTCAGGGTGAGGCACATGCTTGACTACTTGAGAAATGTCCCTGGCCCTGTATTGGAAGATGACTTCCCCAGAAGTACCAGCCAGGCCTCTGCCTGACTCCACGCCTGCCTTCTGCTATTAATACAGCTTTCTCCAGTCCTCTTGGGTCAGTGCTATTTGGAATGGTCATGGGAGGGACATTTCAGAAGGACTATATTCAGTGCCCCTCGAGCAATGATGGTGGGGACTGCCAGTTCCATGGGAGGCTAAAACCTGCCTGTACTTGGACACAACCTCTCTGCTGACGTTCTTGCTGGCAATGGTCTTTTCACCCGGCAGTTTCTCTTCCCAGAGCAGCTCATGTGTGCCAGAGACTCATGCCAACAGCTCCTAAAAGCATTACTGTAGATGCTTTGGGACACAGAGAGGGAAGGGAACTGAGCCGGGGGCCCCTCGGCTTAGCTCAGCACCCAGTTCTCCAAGCTCCTTTGCTGCCAGGAGAGGAGTAGCGGTCACAGTAGTCGCTGTAGCAGAAGGGGGAGTGATGTCGGTAAGGATAATTATTACAATTATTGGTGGCCAGGGCCCACATCTGAAACACAGAGCAATGAATGAAACATATACTTTCACAAAATGCTCATTCTACAGAGACCTTTTGGGGATGTGTCCCCAAAGCATCAATCTAAGCCAGCATGTGACATAAAGATGACTCGAAAGCAGGGGTTGGCTGCTCCTCAGAGGCCAGGTATGGCTTCCCAGTGCTGGGCCTCCAAACTTTCTTCTGGTGGTCTGAGTGCTGGAGAGCAAGAGGGAGGCTTTAATGGAATTTGACTTACATATGCATCTTAATTAAGAATCAAATTAGAACTGCTTGAAGCGTATGCTTCGAAAGAGGAAAAAAGCACACCAAAGATTTATTATCAGTCACCAAGCCTGCTGAAACAGCCGCTGTGGCTGCGCCTTGAATAGATGATGTGCTCACTGCTTCCCAGGGACAGGACTCTCCGCCTTGCCAGGAGAGAGCAGCCAGGCCCGAGTCATGCAAGACCGCAGCGGCCTCCGACAGGAGGGAGGAGGCCAGCTGCCCTGGCCTCTGACTCACAGACAGTGGGGTTCAGGATGAGTGGGGCGATACCATCTTCTCCCTTCAAGGGTGCAGCTGCTCAAACTTATGGCTCTGCATTCAGTGCGCAGTCCCCTAAGCCTGTCACTCAAGAGCTACCTCTCTCTCCACCCTCTCTCTCTCCCCTAACAGATGGAAAAGGCAGGGACGGAAATCAGAGGAATTCTGTGAAGAGAGCTAGGTGTTTGGAATCAAATTGGTGCCTGGTGGGCTGATAGGGGCGGGGGTCCCTTCGCATCTCGGGGCTGAGATGCTGCAGAAGACTCTCAGAGCGGCCATTAAATAGGGCTCCAGGACTAGAGAAGGCTCGTTGGGGCCGAGTGAGAGCACTTACAGTGCAGTTTATCCCTGAGAGAGGAGCCAGACAGCAGCACTTGAGTCAGGAGGCACAGTGCAGCCACAGGGCCTCAGCTCCGGAGAATGCCTATTCCTGCGGTCCCCCAGCTTTGTTTCTTTTCTTTTGTGGAGGGAAGGGGGAGTGTTGGGGCACATTCAGTAGTGCTCGGGAGCTACGCTGGGTTTTGTTCTTAGGATTGATTCCCAGAAGTGCTCAGGAGACC